GATTTTCATATTTATCCCATCTGCAAATCTTTCAGTACATTTTTCTATATTACCTTACTTTATATTATTTAATCCTGTCTTGTCTTAAACTATCTTACGCAGTTTTTTTACCTTACCTTAAACCCTAATCTTGTTTTAAACTCTTATTTTATCTTACCTTATACTATCTCATTTGAACATATCTTTTACTCTAATCATACCTTAACTCACAGTCCACACTCTGTAAATAGAGCCATAGTTCTAAATAAAGCCTAGCTATTCAAACTCAGCCACTTGGTTAAGTACACTTACCTTGTATCTACACTCTTTGTCCATTTATGTCAGGTATGTTTATCATATAGGTGCACTTTGTAGTTGTACAATTACAGACTGTAATCCATCTGTTTCTCTGCATTAATTGTTAGCCCCCTTTCACTCTGTTCCTTAATGGTCAGTCCCACCACAGAACAGGCATTTACTGAGTGGTGGATCATTCTCAGCACAGCACTGGTCAAAGGATGCTGTTGCCTGGACAGGGCCATATCTAGTTAGTGTTAGATAGATAGATAGATCACTTTATTAATCCCAGAGGGAAAGTCATCTATTACAGCAGCACAAAGTACAGTAAAGAGCAATATGTTAAAAGATGACCTATGTTATGTATGTGTTACGTCCATAGGACGTATGTTTTGTTTTGCTTGCTTCCCTTTCGTTCTTTCTCTCTCGCTCTCTTTCTCTCTCTCTCTTATTCTCTCGCTTATTAGGAACCTGCCCACTTGTGCGTGTGATTGGCTAGAGTCCCGTAACGAAATTTCATCTGATTGGCTGGCTGAAATTGCATGGCGTATATCTTCGTATATGTTATCGAGGCTTTCCTCCATGGCGGCTTGGGGCGATTGTTTTTAGATCCGAACCGCAGCGCAGCTTGTTTGTTTTATTGCTAGCGATTGTCTACTCTCCTCTCAAATGAAATAGCTTAGCTTTACCTCTTGTTCTATACCCAGTTATCTCTGCAGTTAAACTGTAAGCTCATGATCTGTCTCTGTAAATGTTCACTCTTATGCCGACCAGGTTGTAGGAGTGGGTGCCATTTCTTTTGATCTTGTTTTCTCCTGTTTTTGGTATAGTTAGGGAGTTAGGAAAGACTGACTGTACTTTTGTTTCTTTATGTTTGCATAGGTAAGTTAGTTATCTAACATTTCTAGCTAGGCTTGTTATGTTTATTGTTTTGGCGCATGCCCACTCTGACGTTCTCCTGTGTCGTATACACAAAAGAGCAGCATAAAAAGAAAATAACACGATTTGACCTGTTTAAACGTCAACTGGCTCTCTTTTGTCTTTTATGTTATGATCATCTCAAACCCCTAGACAGGTCGTAACAGTATGTAATTGGCATTATTTATGGTAAATGTGGCTTTTCCTTTTTTTAATAAAAAAACAAATAAAGCACCATCAGACTAAATAAGTAGTTTTCCAGTGGCATGTTTAAATGTGCAACATAAGAGATGGAGTGAGGTAAATGTTTGTTGTGAATAAACGTATAGCTGAGTTTAATTGGCCAATACTGGAAACCAGATCTGTAAAGCTAAGCAAGGGTGGTCCTGGTCAGTGGCTGGATGGAAGACCATGCTGCATTGCCGGCAGTTCTAAGCTTTTCAACTTTATTTTGAAACTAAACTATGGATACAGTGAAAAGAAGTTCATACTGTGGGACTAAGCAGAAGACTTAAAACAGAACATAGCAGGCCTGCATGTACTCAGTTATATATTCTACTGAATTACTTTAGAAGACCTGTATTGGCTTCCACCTTCAGCCAGTGTATACAAATCTATGAGAACCTTTGGTCTGGTCTTATGTCAAAAACTAAGTAATGTGGGGCTTTGTCAGGGCTTGTCTTGATAACTGACATTAGAATTTGCAATCAGGTTTTGAACCCAAGCTTTACTTTGAAATAAAAATAACTTTGATTCAAACTTAAGAATTTAAACAAAGTCACCCTCAATTGAGTCCTAATAGAGTGGAGGAATATTTTTAATGACCATTACTCGAAGGTTGGTCTGGATGGCCACTAAAGGCTTTATAAGGAACTTCTCGTCTGCTTTTGCTGCCCATCTGAATAAGGATAGACTTAACAGAATCAGTATGTCGGAACAGCAATGCCATGTATTGGAACAAAGTCTTAAAAGGATATATAATGAAGATATGAAAAAATAAACTTTGCATAGTTAAAGCAAAATTGAATGATTTGTTAAGAAGAAAAGCTGAGTTCATTATACACAGAGTTCGACAAAGATACTACTTTAACGGAAGCAGACCTAGCAAGCTTCTTGCTCTGAAATTAAAGCAGTGTGAAAGGTTTGCTACGATAGATTCCATCCACTCTTCTTCAAAAGGTTTAGTAGTTGACCCAAAGGACATTAATGATACTTTCAAATCATTCTATCAGGATTTATATTTGTCTAGGGGTGACTTTAATACCGAGGATTGTAGACAATTTTTAAATAACCTTGACCTTCCAAAGCTAAGTGAAGCTGATTTAGGCAGCCCTGTATCTTTAGAAGAACTACATTTAGCACTGAAAAATACCCCTAAAGGTAAAGCACCTGGACCAGATGGTATTCCACCAGAACTGTTGCTGTGCTTTTGGGATATTCTTGGTCCGGTGTTTTATGAAGCCATACAGTTTGCAATTGAGGTGGGCTCTTTTCATGACCATATGAATATTGCTATGATATCCTTGTTACCTAAAAAAGGTAAAGATCTCACTCGGTGTGCCAATTTTCGTCCAATTTCACTGATAAATTCTGATATTAAATTGTATTCTAAGGTGCTAGCCTATAGACTTGATAAATATATTGAGAAATTAGTACACTCTGACCAGTCTGGGTTCTTGAAGGGACGGCTTGCTGCAGATAATATTCAGCGCTTGATGCATGTTTTACATGAGTCACAACAAAAAGATGCTCCATGTGCAGTCTTGTCTTTGGACGCAGAGAAAGCGTTCAATAGAATTGAGTGGGATTATCTGTGGATGGTGTTAGAGAAGTTTAGTTTAGGATGTATTTTCATTCATATGATTTGGATTTTATACAATAACCCATCTGCTATGGTCATTACTAATGGTTTACAATCACTCCCGTTTTCTGTTCTTCATGGAACACGTCAAAGGTCACCCTTATCTCCAGATTTATTTATTCTTTCTATTGAACCCTTAGCTCAGCATTTAAGACAGAACAAAGTTATATCACCAATTCAGATTAAAGGTTGTCCTCACATTATATCCCTCTACGCAGACGATATCATCCTCTATATAACTGATATTGTTAAGTCTATTTCCAATTTATTATCAGCATTTAAAAACTTTCATGCGTTATCGGGTTACAAAATTAATTGGTCAAAATCAGCTTTGATGTTACTTAATAGCAATGCAAAAAATATCACTGTGCCATCAGTAATTCCTGTCAGAACACAGCTGAATTATTTGGGTATAAACATTCAGACTTCTTTGAATGGCACAGTGAAGTTACCAAATACTTCGTAGTAGATACTGAATTTCTCATAATATATATTAAATCATTTGTAGAAGTCACTGAATAATTTATTGTAGTTACTGAATGATTCGCAGTAGGTTCTCATTTTAAAGTAGTTACTGAATAATTCATACTATACTCACATAAGTTTGGGTGCACTGGTCAAATTACATGTTTTGTTGATTTAAGTGAAAATAAGTACATGTTCTCCACAAAGAACACAATCCTGCATATTTTAATGTACAGTTAATGTTTACTTGCTGAATTTCACACATTAAAAAAGAAAAAAACAATGCAATGTTTTTTCTTTTTTAATGTGCAAAATAGTTATATTGTGTCTATCAAAAGACACATAAGAACATGTAAAAGACACTGGATTATATATGTAATGCTCTTGGTTAGTGTAAGGATTAAAAATGCATCACTTTACCCAGATATCTTACACTGCATTATCTTACTACACTGTCAGTGTTTAATGCATATAGCTGAATAAATATATTGAATCTCCTTTTATAATTTAAGCTCATTCATAGTTGACAGAGCTATATGTAAAATCAGTGCTATCACAAACATGTTAAAAGTGAGACATTTTACCATTTCATGTAAAATATTAACTCATTTAGAACTTGATGGCAGCAACGCATCTCAGAAAAGTTGAGACAAAAGGCTGGAAAAGTAAGTGGTACTAATAAAAAACAGCTGGAGGAGCAACTTGCAACTAACTCACATGACTCTCTAATTAATGTAATCAACTAGATTGACAATCCAGGATCAATACCATCAGTAAAAAAATGAATGACTATGCAGGGTCAATACGGTCAATAAAAGGATTAATTTGCTATCTCAGATTAATGCAGTCATTAATTGATTATCAAGGATCAGCAGCTATTGGCTACCCAGGACAAGCAGCTCATCATGCTGTGCGAAGTACTACTAAGTTTGCTTGCGTGCTAACTATATAAACTTTAGTTAGCTTGTAAGTTGATCTGTTAGGTATTTGTTAATGTTGTCAAATATAACCTTAAAAAATATCTTAGGTTTACTGTTTGCTAAACACAACCTAACTAGCCAGGTAGCCAGTTAGCAATGCATTTATCCAGGAAAAGAAAATGAATGACTATACAGCATGATGCATACAGCTACACCTCAGTCTACACTCCTCTTTTGAAAACTGTTGGATCATTTCATGTGGATTTTACAATAGGACTGTTCACCACTGAAAAGGTCTAACTGTAGTATATAGGTCACACTATGATATAGGTCGATTATTTGATATAACGGACAGTTGTTCTAGTGTATCTGCTTGATGCTACATCATGTGGAAGCACATTGAGTGACAGAGGGGTGACACTGACTGTTCTTCAAAGCTGGTTTCAGATGGTGGTAGGACCAAGGAAATCAGTGTTGAAAGGGTGGGATAAATGTCTTTCTCCCCGATGGAACCATGCTACAACATTTCTGCGTGGGTAAGCAAGAGTTAAACACTCTCATTTGTCATTATCTTTTCATTTATTTTCTTCAAAACCATTATTGTTCATAATCAGACATATACATGTTATCAGTCAATATAAACAGCCTTTTAGCTTTATTCAGCTACTTGACAGGTTGCAAAAAGGTTCATATCTCCATGAGATTTTCAAAGGTTCTGAAGAGATCTTCATTGATTGTGAAGGGTCTCCCTTATTCCTGTAAAAAATGAACAAGACCATTATTTGTATGCTAGTGCATTGCATTGTGTGGACTGTGTTTCTGTTTGGTTAGTATTAAAGACTGAACACTCACATATTCAGAAAACTGAATACTTACATATTATTTACAGCTATAGGTCACCTCCAAGTATTTGTGGATGCCATAGCATGGATCAGAGAAAACATCATTGGAGGCCCTCAGCTTACAATAGCTCTTGCCATTGCACCTGCATTCATGAACAATAAAAAGGTTTCGAAGTGGACAATATCACGGATGACATACTATGTAAATGGTCATGTAAGTGGTATGATGGTGTATGCAGATTAGTGATGATGGATGTAGGTCATAAATGTAAAGGTCCTGCTTGAAGGACAGTTTGCATACCTCAAACTCAAGTTGGTTGTCTGAGGGGAGTAACAATTAGATAAATTTGCTCCTTCAAGGGGACAGATGGTGAGATCCCGCCGCCCGTAGTTGGCATGATGGATGAATATCACTCCACTTTCTTTTGTACAAAACAAAGTTAACACACACTGAAGCGTATTAGCATGGGAATATGGTTCTCCTGACTTGATGAAAAAGTTTGGATAACTGCAATTCATGTTAAGCTGAGAAATATTCTGTATGCTTTTTGAGCACTGGAAACCATTCTCTGCTATTTGTCAAGGTAAAAAACAAAACAAAACAAACAAATAAAATCTTTAATGACTCATACATACCACAGGTTATCATATCCTGTTGATCTTCACAAACTACAATTCTCCCTGGATTAATGGGGAAACAAAAATATTTTACACTCTGCTTCTTTACATTATTGCCCAGAATCTTCAGTTTGACAAGGCATTTAATTCTTTCAGCTATTGCTGAACTGTTAAACTGAAGTGGTGTACCCATAATGATAAAATGCCAGAGTGATTTGATACTATTGACTTACGTCTCGAAACACAGTTGTAAGTCACGTCCAGGAATTTGGGAATTCCATAGCAGGGATCAGAGAAGACAGAGTTTGAAGCAAGAACAACACAGCTGTACCGTCCATCACATCTAGGGATACATGAACAGGGTTTTAAACGCACACAGTAAAAACCTATAAAACAAGCAATAGACGTAGTGAAATATGATGGCCAACACAGCACATTGTAATATATTTGTGGAATTACCCCTCACCGGTCTGACATGATTTTGAGAGATCTTTCATTGTAGCAATGATCATATGAAAGCTGAAAACTTGATAGCCCTTCGCTGCAAGTTATTTTGTCCGTGCGTCCATAATTAGCCTTGACAACTTCTATGTAGCCTGAACCTGTTGGAGAAGAATAGCCTGATTCGTACTGATTGGTCTTGTGATTGTTATTTCTTTAAATCAAACAGTTAAAAATAAGAATCTAGAGGACAGAATAAAACATTACCACAGGAGAGAACAGTGTTGCTATCCTCACATGCTAGCTGTCTTGCAGAAGTTCTTTGACCACCTATTAAAATGCAAATTTAGTGTAAAAAAAACTTCATTCTTGGATGGTAACTGTAAAAACTGGTTTGAAAATGGTTAAAATCACAATGTTCTGTTTATGTAATTATTCTAATATTAGTGGTCACAACTAGTTAATTGCTTTCCAGATAAATATAATTTAAATATAATACACAGACGTGCACAGCACTGTGTATACAAACTATTGCTCCTTACCACACAGCATCAGAAATAGCATCCCTGAAAATCAAATATTTAGGTATGTATCAAAAATTTCATGCTGCACATCAGAACTACAGCAAAAATTCCTAAACATATAAAGTGCATAAAAGTATACTCACAGGTTGTCCAGCTCATTCTCTGTGCCTGATAGTTGAACAAATATGTGATCAGAAGAAACTTCTAATTGTAACCACTAATATTACTTGTTTTTATAGTAAGCGCCTGATTTATATATGAAGAGTAATACAGGTCACCTAAGCATTAACCTGGCGAGACCTTGAGGCCTTTTAAAATTTAACTTTGCAAGGATGACTCATCATGTATAACCTGTGTTTCCCGAAACACTTCTTAGCCAAAGTAAACTTGCTTAACAATTAATAACTGACCACTACATAGATATAGCTCATACACACAAACACACGCACTGTGGCACTGATAGAAAGAGTATAGAAAGAGAATATGTATTCAGTATACAAAAATTAAGTAGTTTAGTCAGTTTAAGTTATATTTTGTAAAGGCACTATTCAGAGAACAGTTATTTTTACATTTTTAGGAGAATACTTTTAGAATACTTACCCATAAAAATGAAATTTAAATGATGTATACCATCTTTCAAAGAAACAACATCACTGCTTGTTGAAGATCCTGCTAAAGCCTGAGTAGACTGATAAATCACTGTGATAAGTCAGTTATTCTGAGTTGTAGTAAACTCTTTTGAGGTATGGCTGAACTGTCTCCTCAGTAGTGCACATGTTCATGAGCAATGAGCTTAGCTTTGGTATTGTACTGGATATATGCATGTGTTTCATGGCAAGTCACATAACTGAAAATCACATAGCTACTGACTTTAAAGTCAAATTTGTGAGATTTTATTATTGGGATATGATGATTTTTTGGCTTAGGCCATGAAAGAGCAATGGGATTATGGGAACAGCAGTGGACTGAAGCAAACAATGAGAGCCAAAATAACATTGAGAATTTTGTATTCATTTTGGCATTTATTTGAATAATTGATTTTTTTTTCATGAAGCATATTAACAGAATTACACAAACATAACTGCCAAACAGTAACAGTGAGGAACAGTGTGAATTAAAAATGACAGCAGAGTTTTTTTTTTTCCCATGGACTTTTTCAATATGTATTGTAAATGTATTCTGAATACATTACTTTATGTATTGTAACAGAATACATTGTTGAATACATTTAGGACAGTGTATTCAATATTCAGCCCCTACTTTTTCAGAGTATTTTGCCCAACCCTGCTTGTATCTACACTCACACACACGCACACCTTCTAAGCTGCTCATCCTTCTGGGTCGCAGGGGGAGCTGGAGCCCATCCCAGCAGTCATTGGGTGGAAGGCAGGATACACCCTGGACAGGTCACCAGTCCATTGCAGGGCTGTATCTACACTCTTTGTCCATTTTATCAACCCCACCTCCCATACATGAGCACTTTGTAGTTCTACAAATACAGACTGTAGTCCATATGTTGCTCTGTATACTTTATCAGCCCCCTTTTACCCTGTTCTTCAATGGTCAGGCCAATATGTTCTCCATTGAAATTTCCATTTTGAAGTGGAAAGTCTGTTTGTGTTTTGGCCTGTGATGCTGCCCGCTGCTCATTTCGACACCCCAGGTTGTCAGATCTGAAACACTTTGGCAAGCAAACACAGCATTGCAGCCATGGAAGCATGTACACAAACTGGATCCCACCCTAAAAAGCCTCTGCATCCTTCTAAAAAAGCTCCATGACGAGAGACATAATAAAGCACAGGTAAATATTGGCGATGCATTTGAAAGATAGAGCTTAGAGCTTAGATGAACCTTAAGACATTAGCAACTAAATTTGCTAATTTTCTTCTGAACAAGTAAGCATTGAGCTTCAGCTAAGGTTAGCTAACTTTAATTAATTTATCATGGCTACTAGTAGGGACGTGCATTTTAAGTGATTTTATCATTCAAGTACTCGCATTCATACTCTGTGGTTCGTGTGCAGCTGTTATCAAGGCAGACGAGACTGAAGTTGGCTTCCTATTCGCGAGCTTCTTGCTAGAATTTTCCTGTTCCACCTTACGGTGCCAGAATGTAATGGCTGCAATATTTTAAGTGGAATGGGAAAATTTGAACAAGAAGCTGGTGAATAAAAAGCTGACTTAAACTTCTTCAAGGTAGAGCAGTGGGCTTTTGTTTTTAGGATAACAGGCTTAGCTTTGGCAACCATACATAGCCAGATACTCCTCTAGCTAATACTGAGAGAGATATTAAAAAAATCCACATGAGCTGTTTTATAATTTGCAAACATGTACATTAGCTCATCAACTAACAGTGTATGACTCCTTGTTGCTTGTTATTGTTATTGTAAGTTTAACATTGTGATCAATCATGTAGGTTCATTGTCCTCAACCTGGCAACCCCTTGTGAGCTTTGAGTCTGAGGAGGAGGGGTGGAGGCAGACATCTCTCTCCAATATTTAGAATTTGGACTGCAGTGCCCATTTTAAACGCTTGCTGTCAGTATTACATATGCTACTTTAAAATTACAACTATGCTTAAAAAACAGTTCAACTCAAAAATAGTTAAACTGTTTCTCTCCTGAAATGATTAGATTTATGGTCTGAATAATAAACATGATACTGCTGCCTCAGCAAAACAAAAAAAAAAGTGCACATCACATGATTTCAAAAAACTGCACTGCTACCCCACCACTGTTGTCTTCCCAGACAGAGTTTAAAGTTCTTCTACTTGTTTGTAGAGCCCTAAAGGGCCTAGCATTTGTGTACCTCACTGAATGCCTTTTGGTTTCACTTGTTGTAACATTTGATCTGGGATGCGCAAATACTGGCCTTCTGCAAATACCTTATGTCAATTACAGAAAAAAGTCAAGACTGTTGAACACTGGGGTGTTATGATCATTTCCTGGCAGATGTGTTGCAGGTTCAGATCCAAAGCTGTACTGCACACCACTCCTGTTCCAGTGGTCCCTTGCCTATATTAGGTTTAGGTTTTCTATATGGGAAAAATGAATGCGTTTTTCAAAAATTGCCACTGTAGTAGATAAAAATATTCCACAGCCTATAATAATGCCATTGGATCTTCCATATTACAGGATCATTGAGGAGTGAATATATATATTATATATAAATATAATTATATATGATTTATATAATATTATGTGGTTGCCAGTGATCTCAGTACAATGTATAGCATTAGCATGCTTGTAGCAATGTTCATAATTCATCTCTTCAATGACTTTATAAGAGGATCCAGTGACATTCAGAGGAAAAAATGTATGTACAGCAAAAAGTTCCAAGTATGGGCATGCTGGCAACTACAGAATGGAGACACAACTTCAGAGGTCCATACATTTTAAACTGGAAGCTCCAAGCATGGTCAAACAGGAGACATGTAAAAGACACCCAAGACCCGAACAGAGCCATTTTCAAAAACCAAAAACAAATAAAAAAAGAATGTCGACTTTGGATTTGTCTGTGAGCCTCGTCATCAGCTCAACATACACACACCTTAACTAAAGACATTTATGTTTGCTCAAGTGGTCAGCACAGAGCCCTGACCTCAACCCCACTGAGCACCTCTGGGATGAACTGGAACATCGAATGCGAGCCAGGCCTTCTCGTCCACCATCAGTGCCTGACTTCATCAAATGCTCTTTTGGCTAAACAGGCAAAAATTCCCACAGACACACTTCACACAGAAGAACACTGGTCGCCCAGCCAGGAATCAAAACCAGGCCCTCTTTGCTGTGAGGCAACAGCACAACCCACTGCGACACCCTGTTGCTATACAGCAAGACTTCTTTAGTAGTAACTGATAATCTATACAGATGTATAGCGAATGAGCAAAAGCAAATTCAGGATGTTAATGGGGTTTTACCATGCCTAGACAGGTTTCAATCAAATTTACATAAAAATGAGCCTTTCACTGGTGGTGGTGGTGACAGTGTCTTTTAAGGAAGCTGAAGTCCTTCAGGGTTAGGAGTGACAGCCTGTGTACCTTTAATTATGCCCTTATTGAGAGTAAATTTCCTTTCCTTTTGTATTGGTTTCTTTCTCTTAATGTCAACAATCATCTTCAGCACTTACTTATATTTGCTCTAAAATTTGTGCTACACAGATCCGTTCCTTAACACTGCACTGTGATTGACAGACTGCTAAAAAGGCAATTTTTATCTTAAAGACTATTTCCAGGCATTGATGAAACAAACTCCTAACAATACATCTTCGATCATCAGAATTACATATTATGAAGTTATTTCTGAGAAAAAAAAATCCACTAATGCCTTAAAAGTTGCTTAGATGTAACTCTACACCTGTGCCTTCATTTTGTATGCACGGATCTATGAATATGCAAATAGAAATTTGCCTCCAGGACTTTCTGCCAAAAAGCAGCTTTCTCTATGTTCCACATGTACTTGAATTAGCTAACCTAATCTTGCTAACACTACACTAGCAGCTTTTAAGGACGGCCATTATCATGACACACTTTCGTTGTGAACAACCCCAAAGTCCTGTTTTTGTTTTTTTTTGTCAGAATTATTGTAGTGACTATAGCCATCATCTAATTCAGCAAGCTTAGTTATCTAACAAACCTTTTGAGTAACGTCTGCCCTAACTTTCTTTAACATCCCAAAGCCATATAGTGTCCTGTCAGCATTTGACATTAATCTTCATGAACCTTGTAAGACTTACGCTGTCTAACATTATCTGCAGATTGGTTACAGGCTGAAGTCAGATTCTTATTTGCCAGCTACTTGTTCGAATTTCCCGTTCCACCTTAAATGGAGCAGGAGTTACATTCTGGTGCCTCAGACCTTCTTGTTCAAACTGTCCCGTTCACTGATGCACCATTTAAGGTGGAACAAGAACATTCACACAAAAAGCTCGTGAATAAGATGCCAGCCTAGTAGATTTGTTGTAAACAGTCCACAGATAAAACACAACAAAAGAAAAATAAATGTACAATTTAGCTCATACTCATGTCCCCAGGATGAATGGATGGAACAGCATCTAGCTTCAATATCATTCAAAGTTTAGTGGCAAACCCCAGCTGTTTTTGAGTAAAGTTTGCAAAACAGTCCTCTGGAGTTTCCTCTGGACGTTTTGCTGGGACAATCAGATTTTTCCAAATAAACTACAAATAAACTTTTCAGAATATGTCCCTGCCATGGTTTTGAAAAAAATGGAAAACTTAGCTTTCAAAATATGACAAGTAGCTAGCTACACCTGATTCTGATACACCTCCTTCCACCTTATTATTATGCTAATTATCTGGAAAGCCTCACCCCATCAGTGGACGGGATTGGTTCCTTAGGTTTGTGATGTAAAAACAATGGATGTCTGAATCTGTCTTTTTGACACTCTCACTGGTGCACTTCAGTTTCACAGCAGAAGTACTCAGCTATGTCTTCTAGCATATAAAACACATGGCTAGCATGTCTAATTTTTTTTTTTTCACCAGAGGGGGTCTTTAACAATCCCTCTCATGTTTTGCAGCTTTCTTATGAATAGTTTCCTATAGACCACCGCCTTTGTGGCCACTGGTGCAGAACTGTATGAAGGAGGTCAACTTTTGTACTGATGGCAACGTCTTTTAAACAAGGGTCACATTTCCCTGTCGGCTGACACACACTTATTGATGAATTAACTAATCGTGTCTTTACATGGCGTAGTGTGTCCTTCTTGTGTGTATGTTTTAAGCCTGCCATCTAATTTGTTCTCTAGGATAAATAAAGTTTGAAAGTATGTATTTAAAAAAAGGACCATCTCTTGATACAAACAATTGCTTAGAGCCTGATGACAAAAATCAAGAATGCAGAAATGATGCATATGCCACTTAAACATATCATGTAAACTCAAATATATTTTGTTTACTTAATTTTTGTCTACTACTGTATATGGTTAAATATGTCTTACTTTGAATTTACAGAACTTTCCTGACACATAAATAAATAAATAAATGAAAAAGACTGGGGTAGGTGATGAGGCCCTGCAATAATATGCAGCTTATGCCCCCCAAATATTTAGAAACAACCCTGATATAAAAAGACTTTTGCTCATGACACCTCACACAACTGGAAGGTGTCCTGCCCTATGAAGACTGGTCAATAGTGTCCTCACTATGACACTTTGCACAGATACATTTAAAAAAAATGACAGAAACCACCAAATGGTATATGCAGATATAAATTCTAAACTGTAGTTTCTGTCTGAATTAATTATGTGTGATATAGTTCCTCCTCATGAGTTCCACAAATAGAAAAAAGATACATGCAGAATTTAAACATCCTTATTCAAATGATATGTTCTGTTGATTTTCTAAGTGACAAAAAGTTAACAAATCCTTTACAGGGAATACATATAGATATGTTTTTTTTTAGTGCACAATTAAATGAAAATGTACCATAAGTTTTTTGCAGGCCACATCTTGTTTTATTTATTATTTATATAGAATATATTATTTTTCTCCAAATATGTTAAATTTAGCAAATAAACAGTAATTGTGAATTATAATGTACAGAAGTGTGTTCTCTGTAGAGCATATGTACATATTTTCACTTAGAAAATCAATAAAAATTTCATTTGACCAGGGACACCCAAACTTTTGCATTGTCATTCTATAAAAAATCATTTCAGCATATAATGAGTAGCTATACTGTAAACAGAGATTAAAGTAGTTCTGCAGAATAACCTAAAGAAATATTACAAAATTAAATTACATACCTTTTCATGTCTATGATTAAATGGTTAAGGTGTTAGAATCTATTATGAAGTAAAAATATGACAGTGCACATCGTGGACATGGGCCATATCAGCTGCATTCTATAAATCATGCATTGTTTGAACACAACAGCTTGTCTAATCCTTTTAACTAGGGATGTGTGATTAGAATCAGCCAAGATTGGAGTAAACTGATTTTGCTCCAAACATGCAACCAGCCTCTTTATTATTTTTGATTTTGACTGATCTGTGTTGTAATTTTATGACAAAAATAACATAGCCAGATAAGTACACTTGCGCTGCATTTGGATACTGCCGCTACACCTACACTAAAATGCTGTAGGATAATTCTGCATGACGCATTGTTCTCAATAGCTGGTTGCCTCTTACTTTCGATTTAGCGCTTTATTTGATTCTTGTTATTTAAATAGGCGACACATTTTATTTACAACCTAAAATGCCAGTTCGGCCCATTAAAGAGCAAATAAATGTTATTTACTAGGCAAAGTACAATCTGACTAATTTTAATATTCCACAAGAGTTAGTGAACGGATATCCAACCACAATGAAGAGAAGGGGGGAAAAAAAAGTACTTCTGCCGAAATCCACAACTAATGTAAGACTGGAGCTGGAGCCTTACTATTTTAGGTGACAGCAGTGGCATTAAGAGGCTAAAATTTCATTAGCACAAAATAGCAGCAAGCAAAAGAATACATTTGAAAGCATAGAGCCACACTACAGGTGCCTTCTCAATCAAGCCCTTAACAAGGCGTCCTTGGTGCAAAGTGTAATACACATACCAATTTGGGCGTCCAGAAATTGGAACTGTCCATAAAAAATTATGATCTCCCATTAATCTTAATCCACGTCCCATGGTTAGTGTCAATAGTGACATTTCTCCTCCCAGATTGACTTAATGAGAGCCATTATTTTTCTTCTTCTGGATTCAAAAACTCACTGCTCAAAAATATCAGGGGATTATATCATACTGTGAATTGAGTAACCTCTCACATCCCTAGTAAACAGTAATCAAGGCGTGCGTGTGGAGGGGGGAAACATTTATTTTCCTCATTTCTTCAATTATGAATACCTTGACAAAGAAGAATATCAAAAGGTGGGGCAATCATCAAACAAACATTTATCTCTTCTCAGTTATCTGTTTGTTTTGAGAACACCAATAAGCCAACTAAATATCTAAAACTATATTCAAAAACTGTAGGGCTGTTTATCAATGGCGTATCATGATAAAATTGAAAAATTGTTTCAAAATGCAACAATGCAGTTGCTTATCATCTGACTGCAGAACTTTGTTATTCCCATGATTTTCAGAGGCACAATGTGACCCATGAGCACCACAAAGTCAGACTGCTGTTGTCTTGTATTATACTTCAGTCTGTTTATCTGTCGTTCATTTTTTCCGTCTCACTTTTGGCTTCTTCACTGGCCGTAGGTAGGGGTTATCGATCATATTTTCTTCGTTTGATTTCACTGTAGGGACACCACCACCAGGTGGCAGTACAGCATTCTCCTTATCTGCTCCTGCATCATCCTGAATTGAGAAAAAAAACAAAATCACCATATAACACTAGCAAGTCCTTGCATCAGGTAAACCTTATGTCTAAATGTAAACAACGTTTATAGACAAATGTTAAAGTAGCATAAAAATATGAAATGTACAAAAATAACAACACAGCAAAGGAGTTCTGGGTTGTCTTACATGAATTGTGTTGTTAAGGTTGTTCTCTGTGTCTGTCTGGTCATCCTGTTCAGATGAGTCTGTTTCCTCTAGCGTCTGCAGCTCCAGCTCAGAGGGCAAGAGGGCACTCAGGTACGGGATAGAGCTCGGCCGTGCTGCTATCACTGAATAAGAGCAGTTAAAGGCATTAACACAGCACAATAAGGCTGCATAATGTACTGGAAGTTTTTTCAGTGTTAGAACATGGTAAAAAGTTCAATACTCTGGCTTTTGGTACTTTTTTCTTGCCTATAGGTAAAGAAAATTGCACAAGCTATTGTGATCGGATGTGAATGGATCAGCAGACATACGACTGCTCATATATATACAAAATATACAGCTGAAAAGCTTTGTTTAGTAACATATGTGACCTTAGGCAATGGCCTTTATTCACCAAATTTACTTAGAAAGAAAACTGATTGTAAAATAAGCGCATGCAAATTTTACCTACAGTTTTGTTATTCTTCAGTTAAATCTTTGGTGGCAAGTACTTTAGGAAAATAATCAGGCAACACACCATTGCACCATGTTAAATTAACTTTTAACTATTTTGTTAATTTTGCATTTTATTTTTTCTTAATTGTTGCCATTTAAACACCATCATGCTATTTAAGCTCTGGCCAGTAGGCGGAGCAGTTCATTTCCTGCTACCAGTACAACCATTCTTTGAATGAGACTGCTTTGCATAAAATAGGGCATCTAAATGAACTTACGTTTCACGTAAAGTGTATGGATATGATAGCAATTTGGGGCTTGTCCTTTGCAAATGATTTGTAAATAAGGCACCAGTGCTTGGGCACTTGTTTCCACAGACAGAAGAAGATTCATCAACTACTTGATTTGCCATCACACAACAGCTTCCTGAATCAGACATGGAGTAGTTTATGTCATTAATAGTAGTCAAATCTGTGCTTGTTTTTACATAACTTTAATCAATAAGGGGGAGTGTAACTAAACCCTGATTTTAGCCCTGATTTGCAGTTAGGCTGAGTCTGTGCTGGCTGACTCTAGTCTGCAGATTTTGAGACAGTCAGAGTTGACAACTAGGACAGAAAATCGACTTGTGTGGAAGGGGCTTCGCAATTAAGTTTCAGACCAGTCAGAGTGTATTAAATGATTTTTTTTGTCCCAACCCTGAGTGTAATCTAACAAAAAAATCTAAACCAACAGGCAATGAAAACTCTGAGCACAAAAAAAGTAAATACAGCAAATACATAAAGAAAAATGGCAGACGCAAAGCTTTTGAATGAACTGAGTTGAAGGTGCACACGCAGATAGAGCAAAATTTCAAAAATCTACCACATAAATCACATCTTTACATCCTTGACCCTCATCTAAATATGTATTACCTCTTTTTTTCTTTACTGTGTCAGTGCATACAGCAGCAACAGCAGCAAGTTGCCAGGTTTCATTTTCAGCTATATTAGAGTTTCTGTGAGGTCACGATAATCAACAAAGTTTCATATAATGGTCTTTTTTTTGCCTGCAGCAGTGTACCCCCACCCACTACTGCCGATGTTATAAACAGTGTTTCAGCCTGGACTGCTTTTTAACTGCTTTTTAACAGGGCAGCCAATCAGAACAGAGCTCATTTAAAGACACAGTAACAAAAACAGCCTGTTTTAATTTTAAGAATGAAAAGAGTTTAGAAAATGGTCAGTTGGTAAACTGAATTATGGCTATTGGTTGCATGTGTCATTTGTGGACTTTTTTTTGTAATAGTATCACTTGATATCCAGCTTTTTGATGTTACACTTGGTATTGGTATCAACGTGAAAACTCTATCACAACAATCCTGCACCGCATGCCTTCTCACATACATTCTCTCTTTCATAAATACACACAGGAAACTGTACAACCCTCTGACATGCAGATCTGCACAAACACAGTTCTTTAGGAGGGATGGATTTACACACAGGGCAGAGCTCTTACATGGAAAGGCAGTGAGGTCATCTTTAAAGAGGCTTTGTGTTTCCCCAGTTTTGGCCATGAAGCGTGTGAGGGCTCTCTCAACATCTCTCCTCTGAGAAGCTGCCTTCTCGCGCACCACCTGGTACTCTGACACGGGCTCACGAAACGTCTGCAAATAAGGAAAATAAACTTCATGCTTTCACTATGTGGATGTTCTTAACATCAGTGACAAACGTTCTCTTCTGAACATTGTACAGACAAATATCCAGAAGCTCTATCCTTAGACACAAGTCTTGAGCAAAATATGTCGAACTGGGGTGTCTGCTGTCATGGAAAACACAACATACATACACACTGAAAGAGAGGGTTACTATAATGCTATTTTTAATCAAAGAAGAGCAGAAAAAAAAATTATATATATATATATATATATATATATATATATATATATATATACTATATACTATATATATACACAAACACACACACGCGTATACATATATTCGCAATATTGCCACTAATGTTATCTACTGCAAAATTAACAATTAAATTAAAATAAACTCAGAATGAGGATGTTGTGAAAACTTACTGGGGTCTTGATGTATGTATGAGGGTCTGGAAACTCTGGAAAGTGACTGGGGATGTAAGCAGGGTGAGTTCGTTTCTGTCCAGTCACAAGGGACTTGGGGATCACTGGGGCATTCGTTACTGGAGCTGTGACAGAGCAAACACACAGACCTCAGCAGGAGACTTTCAGAGATGGAAAAAGATAAGGTTTAATAAAAAAAAACAAAAAAAAACGTATAATTGTAAATAATTGTAACCAAGTGCAAAACTAGTGATTTAGTACTTGTTTCCAGAAGCAATGACAGACTGAAACAATCTAGTGAGATACTTACGTGCAGTTATGACCATCCTCTGGGATCTTTTGGCGTGCCCTTGCAATGTGTCTACATTAAAACCTGAGATTGTTATTAGGGAGAAAAGACATTTTAATAATGGTAATTAATGCGCATACCAACCAAGCCTGGAAAATGTTTACCATGACCAAAACTTCAAAAGAAACTAATAATAATAATAATAAACTGGCATGTCTAATTTAAATTACATTTTCAATTAATCTAAAAATCAAGACCAGGAAAAATGTTTGCTTCTTCTCCACTTATACTGTTTCTTAGAAAACCAAACAAAAGGTGACGGGTTATGTGACCTCCAGCCTAAAATCCTTCAGACAGATGCTGTGTTGCAATTTCAGGCTGACCTCTCATTGGAGGAGACCAAGTCTAGCAAGAGGACAGACTCTGGGTTCAGTTATCAACAGAGAAATACAGCAGCCAACAAAAACCCTGCACTGCCACAAGCACGCATCTGTGCAATGAAAAACTAGGACATGCAAGACATGTTGAAAAAGTCACCTAGTCTATCAGTGCCTATTTTCTAAGGTTAAATTAAACTATGTCTGCATAGTTATACTTTTAATCAGATAAATAAACTTTGTGTTCAGGGAAAAATGCAACATATTTGTTGTATGGATTTAGTATACAGAATTTCCATAAAAGCATTAGGCTGTGGACCACTAGTCAACTTAAAGGTTTCAATTATTCCACTGAAAACTATGGAATATAAAATATGCAGATGCCATATTTATGTTTGTTCCCTGCAGAGGATGTGTCACTTAGAAAATAAACAAAACATGTAATTTGACTGGGGTGTTCAAACTTTTGCATATGGCTGTAGGAATTACAGTAAACCACTCTTTCTATATATAGTTCCTACCCATTTCCACCAGTGTAATGACCACATCTGACAGTGTCGGGGTGCTTCTTGCTGTATGCTCACAGTTTGCTTTTGCACATCGCCCTACTTCAGTTATATCTGAAAAACAGTTTGGGGGGGGAAATTTAGTACAGCATAAACAGGCTACATCCTTCAGTTATAGCCATGCGAACACATGGATATCAGCAACACAGATGAACACACAAAATAAGTCATATCAGATTGCATTTTCTAAATATTTGAACAGTCCAAGCCTTACCAAAGTGTTTTAAGGCAAACCAGCTAAAAATATATTGTAATGCTACATATGTGCCTGGGTTGTATCACAATTGGACCAATGATTGATTAAAGTATGGTGTGACGGTGTACAACTTAGACCATATACAGAATTCAGTAAATAAAAAAGGCAAATCACTTTGCTTGTTTGCTTGCTATTGTTAAGTCTAAACCACACTGATACTCTCAAGGCTGCCCATTAGAATCTAACATTACTTAAATGTTTAAGCTATAATACATGTTTCACAATAATTAGACTTGGAATCAGCTGTAATAAGGTTACTTAGATTCCTGAGAACTCTTGCTGTGTTAAAATACACATTTTGATATATTATTTATTTGGAATCAATTTAATCTTCTAATACTTTACAAGGTATACATAAATATAATCACCACATTGGGTGCGAACAGTTACCACAAATAAGATGCATTATTAAAAAGAAAAAGATAAACAGACATCAGGTCTATCTGTGCACTGTTGATGAAAGCTAAATGGCGAGATATATTTTCCAGAAACAGGATCTTTCTGTGAGTTAAGGACGTACAATTGTGCCAGGATATGAAGGGTCCAAATTGGAGGGAAGGCCCACCCTACCCTGAACCAACATTAGTAGACGCCACAGTGATGCGCACTAAACTGATGTCGGTTTCTGAGTTTACTTACAGCTCTGCATCATTTCTGTTAAGGTTTCCACTGCAGCTTTCTCCGCACTCTCGAAGCCACATTCTGTCAACAAAGAACTAACCACGACCTGAAGGGTGCGCCGCCGTGCCAGGTAATAGTTCTCCGCAGGGCTTGTGCTGGTCTTGTTACCTCCTGACCGCTAAAACGTAAGAATAAAAAAGCGAAAGTCACATTTAACTTGAACAATGTAAACCAACTAACTTGTTTTTATGAGCTGGAAAACTATTTTCGTTAAATAAATATCTAGCAACAAAAAGCACTCTGAAGTTAAGGAGACCGAGATTTTCACCACTTTATGCTACTGTTTACAGCTAGCTAACTATTTTAGTTGTTATGCTAACGTTATGTGAATTACAAAGAAGAGACAACCTCGCCAGTAAGCATGTTGAAGTTTCACTCTTTCGGGTTTTAAGTGGTTCGTATGCGAAGGAGATATCCGACACGGATGGTCAGAACATCCCACTTGTCTTAAAGTTCTTGCCGCTGCAATGCTGAGAGAACCTTTAGCTTAGCCTACGTTAGCAAGCAAGCAAGACGTTGTGTGAAAATTAGCTTAGCTTAACGATTGAATCTACGCCATCCACCTCCGCAAATCTTTGCAGTTATTTTTCCTCTCTTAGTTAAAACATACGGTTATATCAAGTTAGCTAGATGCTCTGTCGTTTTGTCTGCGGAAAGCTGTGTAGTGACAGCGTTGTTGCTTTATTTTCGTTTTCCTCCAATATGGCCGACTACCGGACTAATAAGAGTCCTGTACCTCTTTTAAAAAGAGCATAATAAAAGCCAACACTAGAGAAGGATCCTCTTTAAAATAACCAAAAAATGAATGTTCACTTTGAGGATATTTTGGACAGGGTATCAGTGAGGCTATAAATTAAACTTGGAAAATGTATTTCAATTTCAGAGTCCTTAAAAAAAGTAAGAAGAAGGGACAAGAGTTTCAGCAAACTAGAATTTATTCAGTTGCAATCAGACAAAGCACATTCTGTAAAAACTTAATACATCCTTTATAAATAACGTTCACCCAGTAGAAAAGCATTACATCATCTAACACATAACATTTTATAACATGAGACCCCCAAAACTTGCCAACATTCGCTGCTCAGCAGCATTTGATCCCAACAGACACTTTCCGTTTTCCTCTCTGTCAGGCTTGCATAGTACCTCAGTGCAAAGGCAGAACACTCAATGTGACTTTTTTTTCCCAGCTAAGTACATGTTGCGGTGGAATGTGGGTTATTTATGAGGCGTGTGCTCTGAAGCTCATACGCCGCTGCCTGAGCATGGGCAGTTCCTTAGCCTTGGCCTCTGTCTCCGCATCCATGTCATCCGGCTCGGGAATAGTTGTCTGTGCCTCTTGGGTCTGCTCTGTCACTGTGATCTTCTCTTCCATCAGTTTCTCTAGCACAGGCTCTTCCTGATCAGGGAAGAGTGAACAGGCGACCTCCATCATCCCACTGACTATCCCCAGAACTGCAAAGGTGCCACCCACCAGGTACACCTTCATGGAGCCCTTCGAGGGTCCTGCACTCAGCATCTCCTTCACAAATGGGACAAATTCATGCATGGTCTCCATTTTGTTCAAAGTTGACGTCTGTGAAGAAGGAAAGCAAGTTATAAGTATTTGTATAATCTTCCACAGAATTAACGCTAGCACCGAGCTATATTCAGAGTCAGTATCTCATGAAGGTATGTAATCAAAATCAAATAAACCAGAGGTGTTGAAAAGATCAAAATAGCACAGGTCAGGCGCTCAGAAGTTACACCACAATAAAAAACAAAACTATTGCAAAATAGTACTTACTTGCAAAAGTAAGTAGATCCTTCAGATAATAGCTCCTTATTTGTTTGTCTTCAGGTATCAGTGAATAACTCGCTTCAGACTTGCTCTCTATTTAAGCACAGTGGTATCTGTAGCCACGCCTACCAATATGAATATTCATGAAAAACATAAAAGCTTTGCCAGCATGCTTGTGCAAGTTCCTGTATATGGTGTGTGCCAACTCAGTAGAGACCTCTGCCCAGAAGACTTCATCTCCTATTCACGTGACCAAAACACTCATTCTTCCCCACTGTACGTGAGCCATGTGTGCATATCATGGAATCAAATGTTCCCTTCAGAAGAACTTGATGATCCTCTGTTCATAGCCCAGAGCTTCAAGTTGGACACAAAGTTCATTATTGTTTGGTTAGTATAGTGGGAAGCATTTTGTTTAAAAACAGATTATCGATAAAATGAATGTATTATCACAAAATGTGAAAAATAGAAGTGTATATGTTATTATAAAGTTTTTTTGGGTCAAAAACTGGGAAGTTGTTGTCTGATTAAGTCACATGACATGAAATCCATCAAGCATACATTTCACTTATGGAAGACTAGACTAAAGGCCTAGCAAGAAGTAAAAATGGTTACATTACATACCTAGCAGAGCATCACTAGGGTTCACAGTCAGTTACCAAAAAAAAAATTAACCAAGTGCTAAACATGGCCATTTTCTTTTCAAAAACAATGTAAATTGGAAATCATAATGCATTTTACTTTCATACCATGGCATATTTCAGTATTAGGGAGGTCTGCTAAGCTAGGTGTTCATTTTGCTCGATTGTAGGTGGAGGTGAAACACGATATCATTGGTGAATATTATTTTTCTCCACCTGCTGGTGCATGGTGACATTTTAGAAGAAAGCAAATGATATGACATAGTGAATTGAGTGAAAGGTCAATTTTGATTTCAGGTTCTCTGAATTGTCTAATTACTTATGGTCCTCTGAAATGGGGGTCATATATAATCAGGGCTATGATTCATGCTTGATTAACCCACTAGTAAATACCCTGTGCACTTTGACCTTCATTGTTTCATTCCAAATCCATCATGCTTGAGGACAGTTGTGTCACTGTCCATTTACTTACAGACTGCATTGTAGTTATCCATTTATATTGTCCACAATGTGATAAACAATGGCTTCATCCATTAAATCCCTCAGTAATTTCCTGTAAAATGTTTTTTCCATAATATCTTTTCTCATAAAAATAATCAGCATTAAATAGCTCTCTTTACAAGTAGGCTGTAAAATTCTTTCAAGTCTTTTCAGTGTTAAAATAGCCATTGCGGCCATTTAGTTTGTGAAATATAATTAGATATTTAAATATTTAGATACAAAGTTCATGACCGTCAAAACAAATGTGAGTGGTCCAATAAAAAGCCTAATAGGAGAGTTGTAGATAGTAGTCATGGACGAGACGAGACACATCATTCAGTGAACCTTACTCTACTGGGTCTCATGCCAGAAGTTGCTGTAATAAAGCTGTTGAAATTGACCACTAGACTCATTCAAATGAGTTTGAGATCAGTCAGAGTACATCAGCTTAACTTGAGCTAATGATATACTGTTCTTTATGATGTACCAATTACACAGCGTACGTGCTAAGTTGCAGTTGTTATCTTTAGTTTCGGCACATTGAATTATCTCAGAAGCAGAGTCCCAAAAAAGAGACTAATTCAACACTGACAGTGTTTTATTAATGCATAGTAGTAGTACGATTAGTGAGCACATTGCAAAACTAATGAAAACAATAGTGAGAAAAAAAGTTTAGGGATTCTGTAGCACATTTTATTACTACAGTACTGTGCAAAAGTCAGAGACCACCATTCATTTATTTAATTTCCAGACAAAATAAGTACAAGTTATTAAAATTCCAGCAACATGAAAAAAACAGACAACATGTATTTATCAGACAATTACACAGCAGCCTCAACAAAATATAGACTGTTCTTCCTTTTTGTCTATTTCCTGTATCTTTTAATCAATTTTTGAACTCCAGTGTCAAGAAAATATCCTGCAAAATCCTGGTATCCTTGTACTAAATGTACTTGTACTTAATGGCCATGTTGGTTAAAAATTAAATAATTGAAGGGTGTTCTGCACTACACAAACTGTAGGCAATAAAATAAAGGTAGAAAATTCTATAGTAATATCACAGCAGACAATAAATAACATAAAGCCCTACAAAATTTCTGTGGGCCACCAGAGAGTTACTGTAGTTTTTAACAGTAAAACTCTATTAACTCTGAATTTTTTTTTCATATGAACAGTTTTAATTAAACTAACCATTAGCAAGGCAGTCTTCCATTAAAGGCCAATTTCTGTTTTTACATAATGATTCTTTTTACTTGGAAAAATAATATTAAACAAAAATATGATAATACACTTAATTCTTCCACTACCCTACCTATCACTGAGCAACAACAATCAGATAGCTTTGAAACCATACCTGACACTGTTTATCAGTCAGACAACATCATGCCGCAGAACCAAAATGAGTTATAGTTTCAGATTCACATTGTCTTTAAGTCTGCGTACTGCTTACATGGATAATGGACTTTTAAGCTGTCTAATAACATAAGTGTTAGCACATCAATATTACCGTGCCAAATTGCATTGTCAGTATTCAGTATTATCAATATTCTCTAAAGTACTGATATTAGTTCAAAGTGAATAAGTATGTTACTAAGGATGTGGGTATAACGTTAATGTTTGTATAATTATGGCATTTTAATAGCTTGTCTTTCTTTGTTCATATTTGTCCAGTGCAGTGTTTGCTTTGAAACAAGATGCTGACCTTTTGCAAAAAGCGTCCCGTGGGTGAGTGTTTGCCTGCGAGGGGAAAGAGGAGGGGGTCATTGAGCAATGACTTTTGGTTTTGACTCGCTCTAGACACGTCTTCTGCTGCGTGGACACCAGCGCATCAGAGACTTCTGACCCATATTGCGCTGATCTATGCCATGGCCTGTACCCTGGATGTGCAGACGCCGTTGGGAAACCAGCTGAGCACAACTAGCTTGTGGCAGCAGCACAGTGCAGCACGTAACACCAAACAAAAACTGTTCATACAGAAATGATTACTGAGGTCATTTTCATAGTTGCTACATTTCAAACTGTTTCAAACTGTTCGAAAGGTCCTCCCTCCAAAGGATTTTACTTCAGCCTACAAAATTGATCATTTTGAAGACACTTTACAATAATTTTAATCTGTGATTGCATGAATGCTGTCCTCCTGAACAACCTATGTTATTTGCAGATAAATAACTTAAAATGTTAATGCTACACATCTGTATTTTTCCTTTCTAGTCAATCATAATTGCACTTTACCTTGGAATATAATCATTACAGTACTTAAAAAATCTTATTATTGTTGCATTAATGTATGAATCCATTTCGCATCTCATGCTTGAAACATCCTTTTTTCATGAGTCATCCATCATAGGTTATGAAAACATACATTATTTGTGTCCCTTAACCCTGTTACGTGAACACATTCCCTCCTATAAAATACAAATCACATAACAAGAATTTGCATCATCGGAATGTCCTGTAGGAAGGGAAGAAGAAAACAAAATTTTCTCATTTTTTCTTCTGTATTTTCAGTCATGTTGTGATATTGGCTCACAAAGTCACTTGAAAGGTTCAACCCTGTTGCTCAAATTATACATTAAAAGTAAAATAGTTTAAAAATAAATATTTTATTGAAATCATCAGAATGTCCTAAATGTCCTCATGTCATTAGCAAGAATGTTGCTTAAAGCTACATTATGTAAGTTTTGGGCATTTGGAGACCTCTTAGGTAGAAATGCGTAATTGCACATAACGTGGAAGAACATTTTGTAACGATGGTGCTTTGGACCCCCAGTGATCAGATGAATCTGACGTTTGCGAGTGTTTTGAAAGAACGCTCAGTCAAATCTTGGTGAAGGACGTGTCTTCTAAGGATGTGAGTGATTTATCCACTGCTGTCATCATATCTTCATCAGTGTAGTGTTGATTTCGCATTTGAGACCTAAACAACGAGCCGGGCCTTCTTTTTGAGCCTATCCATGTGATGTTAATATGTAAAGATGTATGAAGTGGTCGAGTTGAATCTTCTTTTTGAGCTTTGTGTGTGATGTTAGTGCTTAAAGATGTATGATGTGGTCCGAAAAACTCCACCAAATCCATCCCAGCGCCTCTGGCTTTTGTATTGTGATTACAGGCTTTACAGGCAACTCGCAGAATTGCTCATGTCTTTTGTTCTCCTGATTTAGTAATGCTGCGTCTTTCAATTTGAATAAATGTTACAGAGTGCTCATTTTGTGTATTTGCTAATTTTATGCTAACCCTGTTACTCATTTAAGCCATTGTCAGCAATGAAACCTGAGATGGGGTAACATTTTTTGAATGGCTAAATGCATGTTTGCTTAGATTCAACAATGAAAAATGAAAAAAAAAAAAACACATAACATTCATAATTTCAAGGGCTAAATAAATGCTACCCCAAATGTGGAATCACCCTAATCTTATTTTAAACTGACAGTGAGATTTCGGGGCAGAATGTGTCGTTAATGCACGTTTCATTTGCATTGCATCATCAAAAACCAACTGACACTGACTTTGTACAGAGGTCACTCACAGGGCTGACTGTGGTGCCCTGCGTTTGTGTATATAAAGTCAATAATGCTGATTATAACAGACTCTATTTTAGTCTGTCCTGCAGGTCTGACAGTCTTATCATTCAAACATTACTCTTAGCACATTTAGTACTCATCAAAGAACACTGAGGCCAGATGGTACCCGTGCCTTTACTGTAATCTGCTGTAATATCTTGTTGTGTGGGTGTTTTAGTAGCCACCAGTTGTTCCAGTTAGTTCAGAAAGTAGCAGAATTCCTACAAAATCAGAAAATGTGAGTAAATCAGCTCTACTTTATCAACTCTACATTAGCTGCCAGTTAAATTCCACATTCATTACAAATACTACCACTGTTAGTCCCCTGAAATGTAAGTAGTAAATAAAGTTTCCCTTGAATTAATGCTGTCATTCTGCACTTTAACCTTTATTATGCCACTGACCAGTTACTCACAGACTGTACTATAGCTGTCCACACAGTGTGGTAAGCCATGACCTCAACCATCAAATCTCTCAGCAATTTCTGGTAAAACCTCTCTTTCTACGATGTTTATCCCACTTAAAAATCATTAGAGGTGATGTGCAAAATACCCCCTGGTTTTTAGGGGGCTCCCATGCTGGCTGGCTACTGGCTAATTTATTTTTTAAATGCCCTTTTCTAGTTTGTTAAAACGGTCTTCCACACATTAATTGAAATCTTATTTGGTCGTTGGTTTTAGAAATGAGTAACAATTCACTTTTCCTTCAGTCTCTTGGGACACTGGGCAAGTTTTCAGATTTACAAGAATGCTACGGCATGTTGTGAATTTCTTCAGAGGTATTCTGGGCATTGTGGACAGTTGCTAGGCTATGAAGGACCACACCGGTTGAACCAATGTGCTACTGAACCACCCTGAGGCCGTCCAACACTGCATTACTAGTTAGTTTTAGAATGCCGAAGACGGAAGCTCGCTGATTGTGGGTGAAGCAGGCAAAACAGTAACCTTTTCTCTGAATTTGTATTTGAGCATCTATTTTGCCCCAAGAACACATAAGATCATAATAGGTTTAATTTCAGAAACCCCCCATAATTTTATTTTTGAGCCATTCAGGGGGCCTAAAAGGTTAATTAGCGGGACCCAGACCCCCCCAGGACCCCCTGTATTTCACACCTAAATTAGAGACATGCTTTTTTTTTACAGAATCAGAGGTGACACTTTAGAATAAAAGGCTCACAAAGTATTTAAAATGACTTTAAATGGCTATTAATAAGGTCATAAACACGAAAAATACCGAACCCACATTCATTTGTACTTTGGTTCAGGAGCTGAACCGAAGGCCCCACGGGTCAGATTACCCAGTAATGTTTTTACATAGGTCACCATTTTGTGTGGTTATTGGTCTCATTCAATCTCATTGCCTTGTAAGTCTTGGATTCTCTCTGTGTCCTTTCTTCATACTCTTTTCTACCCCAAGATTTTATTACTTTTCAAATATGAGACACTGAAGATGTCAACTTTAGTATGAATTCCTTTTCAATGTTATACAACATTCTCAGTCGCTATGGAATCATCTACAGCTCTGTTCATCACTTTGGAGACATCTAAAATTTCTTACATCTAGCATCATATTAAAATAATTGTATACTTCTACTTGTCTGCTTGTGTCTTCAACAAACTGGTTTTATATATTAAAAAAAAACAGATTTCAGACTTTTGAGTAGTGATTCCAACTTTCATCTTTCCAAATGACTGGGAGTAATCAGTTTAAGAAACATCTCTCAATTTGTCAGGACACAGATGTGGGAAATGTGTTTTTTTTTTTATTTGTGAAGATTATACAGTATGTATTGCACATGGATTGCGGCAGTCTACACAACTTTATCTGCAAGAAAGAGGACACTTATTCATAACTGATAGTAATCTCACACAAGATAGTAGATGATCATTAACAAACATATTTACAACAAACCCACACTTTAGGAGTGTCAGGTGCATTGGCAAATCAGTACAATAAAGAAGGAAAGACATTCTTGTATAGTGGTGGGTAAGAGGTGCTGGATATGTTTTTTTTTAAATATACATTTTGTAAAACAAAATACAGCAGTCTGCTTGTGCATAATATTTATATATGTATTACAAAAATAAACCTTGATTCTAAAGTAAAATAAAAGACAGAAAATGTCCAAACTGTCACCCTAAATATTTGATGGAATTCCAACCTTTCAGTCTCTTGAGTTGAATTTAGCTAGTACTGAGTGCTTTACATATACTGTCGTATGCAAAAGTTTGAACACCCTGAGTCAAATTACATGTTTTGTTGATTTTCTATGTGAAAAAGAGTTAGCACATTCTCTACAGGGAACACAATCAAATGTGGTATTTTTTTCAGTGCATAACTTGTATTGATTTTGAGTTAACATATTGGAAAAAATAAAACAAAATATAAAATGTGCCATTATTTTTGGACAGGCCGCATTTTATGTTTTAGTTTGTTCAATTCAGCAAATAAACAGCAATTATGTATCAAAATGTGCAGAAGCAAAATGTGCAGTACAAAACAATGTCATTAGACCAGAGGCACCCAAACCTTTACATACGACTGTACAAGCCAGGAGGGTGCTTCAGTCATTTAAGATAAAATATAGCAACATGTACACTGCACACCATCACAGGCTCTAGTGGATATTAAAGAGGAAATCATTTAAAGTCACCAATACTCTCAAGGTAATATGAATCACACAAACCAGAATAACATTCATACACATAATACAGGGAGCTGCAGTTACATCAGCCACAAGGAACCGGCTGCTCATAGTAAAACACAAACGTTCAAGAGATGCCTAAGCACCTTGTTGTGTTTAATGTTGATACTGAGTATTAATAAGTGTATGTGTGTGTGTGTTTGTGCAGAGATATGGAGGCACTCCTCTGAACCTCAGTATTGTCAGAACGGTGCAGTCAACAGGCAACAGGTCAGCTGTCATGTCAAGGATCATAGCCCTCTAGAGCTCAGAGCAGTAGGTGCCCATACCAAGCAGCCAGTGGCTGACAAAGGTCACAGATCTGCAGAAAGACATAGGAGCACATAGGTTAACATGTTGTTATTTACAGACCTTCTTTAAACGTAGTGCAGTTATTTTTATTACATTTTTTCAAATTGCAACCCTGTTTCCAAAATATAGAACAGAATGCAATCATGCGTAAATCATGTAAATTTAATAACCCTAAATTTAATCGAATGACAAATTTAATAAAACATGTTCACAGACAGTGGTTTTCGAAAGTGTTTCTGAGTCTATGCAGTGATTCCACTACAGAATTGTGTCTGTTTTTAATGTAGTGCCACCTTAGAGCCCGACGATCACAGGTAAACAATATTGGTTTTCCTTGTCCCTTGCATACAGAGATTTCTCTGAATCTTTTAAAGATATTATGTACCATAGATGATGAATTCCCCAAGTTCCTTGCTATTTTGTGTTGAGAAACGTCATTCTTGAATTGTTGCACTATTTGCCTTTCACAGAGTGGTGAACCCCTCCTCATCTTTACTTCTGAAAGACTCCTGAGATGCTCTTTTTATACCTAGTCATGTTACTGACCTGTTGCCAATTAACCACCAGGTGTCCTTTACCAGTCTTGTGTATATATTTTCAACTGAATGTAAGATTTATTTGATTTGCACATCATTGCATTCAGTTTTTATTCATTTTGCACAGCATCAACTATTTTGGAAATGGGGTTGTATTAAAATAAATAAATCATATGCAGTGACTATACAATTGTTGTTACCAGGCTCTTACCATGGCCCAAAATTGCTTTGAATAAAATTTCACTACATTAACGTACAAGTTTCATTTACTATTACTATCAGAGATGTGATGTTTTGACAACAACAACATGTATCAAAAAAAGTTTCAAAATTGTAAAATGTATAGTAAATCCATTCACTTTACCTATTAAATTCGCCTCATAGTGCTGCCATGGCCAGTCACATGACAGAGCAGACACCAGTCTGAAATTTCTCACCGTTGCGATTGGTGCCTCTCTTTCCGTACCTGCACAGTTGGAAGATAAGAAGAGTGGTTTCATTATTTGTTATTAGCAATTAGCAATGTTGAATTCAGTGCAGTTTGCAAATAGGAGTTACAATGAAAATATAAATTGCATTTGTATATGTATTCTTTTGATTACTAGTTCAATAAAATTTACTCATAGCACATCTTTGCCATGAAAAGCATTAAAGCATTCAACCTTACTTGTTTCATGAATGGGTATATTCAAGTTAACATAAACATGTAAGTAATTTCATTTATAATGAATATATATGGCTCCTTCGTTCAAATATAACAACATATATGGCCCTATATCAGATTTTGGTATGGGGTAATTGATGAAAGTCTATACCCATTTAGATTAGCTGGTTCGGAGTGGTACACATGCTTGCCCTTCTCAGCCACTGTGAGTGTTCCGGCATGGGCAGTCTCCCTGTGGCTGACCTTGGGCGGCTGGTACAAAAACTTTGTGTCCGTGGGAACAGTTGGAACAGTCATGTGGTGGATGGGCAGGTTGCCGTTGGGCTCCGGGGTCTCGGGTACCAAGCTCTTGCGTACTGCTTCAGGGCTGGATGTGGAGGAGACTGTAATATCAGGCAGCTGTGTTGGAGCCTGGCTCTGTTTGACAGAGGCCTCATAATGAGCAAGCTGGAGCTTCTTCATGTGGTTGATGGCCACTGTAGCATTGAAGGCTTGCTGGAATACACAGATAACTGTGTCAGAAATGAAGGGCTGGTGACATAGCAAAAATTTAACACTGTGACTAATGATATATGGATGGTTCAAAGTCAAAGTTAAAAAAACACACCTCAGGCATACTTTAATTCTGTTTATTTTACTAAAGATAAAATAAAAATTGCAGATTTTGCAATGGCTTTGAACGCTGCTCAGCCAGTCAGCTGGACCTGTTGTATAATATGCAGTTTATGCAGTTACTACATGCTGGTTGTTTACAAATTTTCCTTAATTAATTAAAATTATGATACATACAGTTGTTCAGTGTTCTAGAAGCACTGACAGTATGCAATGCGATATATCATGATAACGATGAAATATTCCCAGAATTTCTCAGTTAGCCTGACAAAAACCATGCATGTCCAATAGGAGCGCAGATAAAGAACATTCCTATTTGACAATTCTCAACTCTTGGCTTAAGTTACCCAGCTTACTGAAAAATCCACCCCTGCAGTATATCTGCCAACAGATAACCTTCCACACTTGTCTGAAACTAACATAATCAGGTCTAGACTGGATAAATCACTCAGAGGGGAGATTTGAGAGAGTGCTACTACGAAATGATCATTGCTGAAGCTCCGTTGTGTAATCAGGCCACAGATCGGATAAATGATCCCTGTGAGAATATAGCAGAGGAGGCAAACTTTAAATAGTCTTAGAGTCTTAAGACTGGGTGCCTTTGGAGGCCTTAGTTTACCTTCCACTTGGACTTGGCAAAGTTCTTCTGGATCTGCACACTGACGGACTGGTAGATGTCCTGGCTCCGGGCAGTCTTTCCAATGATCCTGAAGACAAATCCAGAAACAAATCTCTCTCCAAATCTTTTAATCTATAACAGGCAGTGGCCAAAATGTTCATTTAAGCCTTTTAAACCTCACAAACTGAAGGAAAGACGCGCAAATTGTATTCGCTGACAATAAAAAGTTGATACATTCTTATTAAGCTAATGCATATGTAAACAAACAAGTATTACACCGTTGTTGGCATATCAAAACCTCATTTTTTCCACACTATTTGAAAACGCCAGCTGCCCTGAACATTTTATGTCTAAAGGACTAATAAAATTCATCCAAAATTACTCAGAATAACATTTTATTATTATAAAGTAGCCAATTTGGAGAGGAGGTTTTGTTATCACAGTGAACACATTCTAGACTTCTTTCAAGGCGAAGAACCTGATGTAATTCTTACCAAGGATGTCTCAGGGCTTGATCTGATGTATAGCGCAGTTTAGGATTCTTCTGCATCATGTTGCGGATGAAATCCTTTGCTAAGAACACAACAAACACATGTAATGTTAGATGTTGGTGCTGCCTTATAAGTTATAGTACTCAGGCTATAATTGTTTTAGAGTGACATGCTAAAAAAACTCATGGAATCCTGGTGAGTGTGTATGTTGAGAGAGAACTCTTACCAGACTCTGAGATGTCATCCCAGAAGGGAGAGTCAAATTCATACTGTGCTTTCATAATCTTAGAGAAAAGACGAGTCTCAGTCTCTTCATAGAAAGGGGGATATCCACAGAGACTGAAAAAGATAAAAGGAGGTCATTTTATTGTGCTTATTCATATTAAATTCCTATTTTTTGTTTAAATTGTACTTTTCAAGTATTTTAGTAACAACAATCACAAACATTGCTCTTTGACCCCCCCAGGACATAAAGTTTGGGCACTCCTGCTTCACTGTACACTTAAAAGTGTCCCATTGTACCTATTTTATCCACTAGGGGGCAACCTTTTCACACATTACAATACAAAGCAACTACAGCAGGATAGTGGTAAACAAAGCTAAATCTGGATCCAACACAGCGTGGCTAAAGTTGGTGATTGAGTAATGAGTCACTCACACAGGCTTACAATTATGATCTCAACTTCAAGTTTTAAAACCCATGTTACTAAAGGCAGCGCTGTGCCACTGCCAAACTCTTAAGCAGTTGTTTTGCTGCTTAAGTGCAAAGGGGAACTTGCTATGCAGTGGGTGAAGTTAACAATAAAACGTAAAAGACAGCCTTCTTACAGGATGTAAGTGATGACTCCAATAGACCAGCAGTCTACTGCTTTGCTGTAGGGCTTCTGAGCCAACACTTCAGGAGCTGTAGCCAAAATAAAATAAGAGAATACTTTAAACAAGCTGAGTACATTTTACTGCGAATCAAAATACACTGAGCTGCTAGTTTATTAGGTACTTCTACCATATGGGATCACTTTATATGTTTACGGTTATGAACTGTAGCCCATCTGTTACTGCACAAATTACTACCATCTATGCAGTCTATCCTGGAAAGAGACCACCATAATACCACTGCTGACCAGCTATAAATTGGGTGGTGGACTATTCTTGGCACAGAACCTCTACGTTAAGTGTACTTTGCACAATGGCCAAAGAAGGTAAGTATAAGGTAGGTGTAACTAATGAATTGCAACTCAGTATACAGAACATTCATTATTTGGATACTTTTACTCTGCGTGTCCAATTTCAAAGACCTGCTTACCCACGTAGCCTGGAGTACCACATGCAGTGGACATGATGCCGTTGTCCTCCATCTTGGAAAGACCAAAGTCGCTGATCATTATCTTGGAGTTTTCATCTTGACTGTAGTACAGCAAGTTCTCGGGCTGTGGAGAAAAACAGATACTCTATTTCAAGTGATAGCAGACAAAATTTGAGTGAGGATGAACTCCGTTTTCCTGAAAGGTGAAAGTCAGAAAGCAGAAACTCAAAGCTACATACCTTGAGATCACGGTGAACTATGCCATTCTTGTGCAAGTAATTCACTGCTTCCAGGACTTGTCTGATCACCAGGCTAGCATCCTTCTCTGAGTACATGCCCCGGTCCAGAATCCGGTCGAACAGTTCACCACCTGAAACACTGCAAGATAAAAGAGAAAAATCAGCTGATAGCCGCAGTTAGCTTAATAGGCTAAAGCAGATAGAAATGAATAAGTACTTACAGCTGCATTACAAGGTAGTAATGGGTTCGACTTTCATAGAAATCCTCCAACCCCACAACATTCTCATGTTTGATCCTAAAATAGGATAAAAAAGAGGTAAGAGATTGCACTAAAATCATTTATTTATTTATCTATCTGGTAGATTCATTATTCAAATTGTACCTCCTTAACACAGCAATCTCGTTCTCCAAGTTAACGTCCCTTTTGTTCTTCTTTTTCACACACTTCATGGCAAAAAGCTTGCCTGTTTTTCTCTCCTTCACCATGAAGACCTCAGAGAATGCTCCCCTAAAGTATTAGAGAGGACAAAAAAATAGAGAGGACTTTAGATAATGCTGGATCCATACAAACTTGTAATATACAGTGACCCCAAAAATATTTGGACATTTGAGCTATACCTAAAAATGGATTCAGTTCATTCATGAAACAAATTCATGAATGAATGTCATAAGAGTTCATGATTTATATTAAAGTTTTTCCATCATAGAGAACAACCATTTAATCATGCAAAGAACCATTTATGTGTTTTATATATATATAACGATTCCTTTGAGGAACTTCTTTTTTTAAAGGATGGACCCAGTCTGGTTAGAAGCACTTCTGAAGCACTTTATAAAAACTTACCAAAGGTTAAATGGTTAAAGTGTCCAAAACATTTTGGGGTTACTGCATTGAAAATGTTTGAACTTTTTAAAGCAAAAAATGGTCCAATAAAATTTGGCACATTAATACTTAGAATAAAATCACCCTACATTAAGCTACATTAAAATAAACATTTTTTTTCTCCTATGATGTTCCTGTCTTAAAGAGTGTGAGACAATGTTCTATTTACATTTTGGAATATATTGACAACACATTGCAGTATGTTATATTTGGATATGGAGATTTTGGTTACACATTCAACGACTTTTCAAGGACCAGTAGGCTGTCTGTTGTTTTTTTTTTCCTTTTTGCTAAATAACAGAGTGAGGCCTCCTGCTGAGAGTAAAGCACTTTTTAATGAGGGTGAGGATGTGGCATTTTAAACCCCTGTACTTCCTGTGCATGGCTCTTTGGCACGCCATGCAGCTCTGCATGCAATCTGTTTTATAACACCTAGAGCCACTTGTAGCTGCACCTCCACTGGAGCATGAGGAGTAAGGTGGCAAACAAATGCCCAGTGCAATTATCTTGAGCGATTGTGGTCTGTCTCAATCTTCACACTATTACAGGTGTGAAAAAATCTATAATTCTGTCTGTGAGCAGCTTTAAATGTAGAGCCTTACCAGTGCAGTCTTCGCTTCATTGAAGGAATACTCCAGCGTTTTTCAACCTAATTTTTATGTATTGCATCTGTAGTGTACAGTCACCACAGACAATAATACTGATGCATTTCTGTGTGATTGACAAAAGAACAGAAAAATCTGTTGACTTGAAACACATTTCTATTAGAAATCAATGAGCAGATGCTGAAACACCTTCCCATTGACTTCTATTATAAATGTGTTTTGAGTTAATGGGTTTCTGTTCAGGGAAATTATGGTCGAGATTAATAGATCATATGCCACAGATGTGGTAGGTAGAGATTAGCTTGAAAAATGCTTGAATCAAACCAGAATCCCAGTCTTTGTCCTAATTATTTGTGAAATAATAATTGAACACTGCATCCATTTAGCTTGAACATCAGAATTCTGGAAAAAGAAGCTAATTAATTAGATGGTTAGTGGTCTAAAGTGGTGAAATCTTTTCGTGACCTGAGGAAGGGGCTTTTTGGCTTAAGCGGTCATGGTAAGAGCTTAATTTTCTGTTCTCTGCACTTTCCGCACTATCTAAAGCTGCAACTTGGAATAGATGTCCTGGGCTGGGGATTAGGCCTTGAAATCCCTTACGCAACGGAAACAGTAGTGGCTCAGGTATCCAGTTGTGGAGTCCGGAGCCAGCAGAGACGGGCCAGCCAAACAACCAGGTCAATGAGCAATCCATGGCCTCAGAACGAAGGATCAAACCTTCTCAGCACACTGGGCCAATTGGCAATGACTGTTGGATTGGCTTCGTTTTAAACTATGGGAAAATTAACCTGCTTAGGGATTCATAGGCCACACTGCAAAGATACAGTCATACGCAAAAGTCTGGGAGCCTCGGGTCAAATTACCTTTTTGAACAAAGGCCTTAACATAGTCAATGTTACACATTAATTAACCTTGAATGACTTTTCTTTGTTTTAAATTTTTCAAATTTAAATTTAAACTCGTCATTGTTTATTTCCAAGTTAAATTTTTTTTTTTTAACTTAAGAATAAATAGTGATCTTATTAAGTGAAAGCACAGGCTCATCATTTTACTTCCGTCAACATTATTTCTTGAAAATTTGACATGATCAGATTATTTAAAACAAGTACAAATATCTTACCAGGATGCTTTATTTGTGGTGAATCTAATAGATGTGATAACGTATTGTCAATTACAGGCCTGTTCTGTATAAATACATGCATTTAAATGAATTTTGTGACATGAATTTGTAGGCATTTAAATGTATTGCATTTACATTTTTTTTCTTTTCATTTCATCAAAACCTAAGCACTACTTTGTTTAAGGCAATGCTTAAAATTACTGGTGTGACATATTCGCACGGGTGAAAACTCATTTATGCTGGGCTTTGTAGTAAGACCTCCTGCTCGCAATGCCCTATCACACATAGCGTGTCACCCGCCTCCACACACATGCACACACATTCACGAAGAACGACAAGAATCACAGAATAGCTTTTAATTGCATTGCCGCCTCCAGCCTCCCCAGAGTCCAGCACATGCTCGGTTACTGAAAAGCTACCTCTGCATTTCTCCCTCTGAATATAAAAGCTGCGAAAGAGGGTTTTAGCTAACCTTGGTTCATAGTCAGTAGCTGGAACGTGTCCATTCTTTATAAGAGAAAGAGCTATAGATCACCAAGACAGCTTAATAGGCAATCCACTGAGAGGGTCATATATGAAATGCTATGACTCAACCAGCATTCATACAAATGTCTCAATGATATGAGTAAACATTTATTATGATATCTCAAACACATCCAACACCAACCTGAACCATTACTGCAAACCCTTAAACCTTAGGGGCCTGATTGATGGCCCACATTTTCTTACTCTTATAACTACATAACTTAGATATGAGTAGTTACCAAAAAATTCTTAGTATGTTGCTCTCACACAAACAACATAGCATCTCTCTTTTTTGCTTTTTTCACTTTTTACCTTTTCCCAGAATTTAAAAACTCAAGTTACTCTGAATTGTGTTAAAATTTCATAATGGACTGATAGAAATGGTCTAAAATTACTTGGAGAAAATCTTTCTACATCAACTTCCTTTATAAATTAAGAATGTGTTTTGTTCATCTCCTGTAAAGTTACCATTTTAAAGATTTTTTTCAGGCAGCAATCCATTTTTTTTATCAATGTAAAGTTTTTTTTTTTAAGTTAAATTGTCTCACTGTATAGGCTGATAATTTAAGAATGCAGCAGAAGGATGGTTTTTCCTTCACTGTTTTGGATATATGAGGTTTTGTTCCAGCAGCGATGATTAGTTACTGAATCTTAAAGAGTCGTTAGGCTAAATTTTACCTTGAATTTTTTCCTTTAAGATCCACTTATGTCATTTGTATGGGTTTATGAACAAAAAAAAACAGCCTCTCTTTATCGATGTTAGAATTAAACAGCCTTATTTGTTACTGTGGCTTTAAGACCGATCCTCTATTCTAATTGGCTGCCCTGTATTATGCCGCTTTAAAAAACAACCTGGACTGAAACACTTCTTAGAACTTCAATGTGAATGGGGGGGGCTAAACTGCTGTAGAAAAACAATAACACGACAGCTTAGTTTCCATATATGGACCATATGAACTTGAAAGTGAATGGCACATTAAAAAGTTAACTATGCTTACATTTTAAATTAATTCTTTAAAAAGAATTAACTTTTTCAGTCTATGGATGCTGTTAGATTAATAACTGAATTATAAGCTTAGGATTCAAGGAGTTAACACATGCCAATTTTAGATGCTGTGTTTTGCAGTTTTACATTTTCCCCCTGTAGGTTTATGCTGAGGGAGAGTGGGGTTTGGTTCAGGTTGTTTTTGCCACAGGAAGCCACTGGGTCACCTCCCCCAGGAAAAGCATTTTCCCACTGCTCCATGCTTCCGCTTGTATAACAAAGAGCAAGGACACCAGGTCCGGGCTACAACTGGAGCAAACGCTGTTAGGCCAAATTACATGATATGCTGCATTTCAGTGTTTGTATTAAGGGTATTTGAAGGCCACATCATGCACACTGCTTATGTTCCACTAGGTATATTTGGACATCGCAGACTGAAGCAATGGCCCTTATTCTACATTTGTTGTATTTTATTTTTCCCTTGCGGTCCACTTATAGCATTTGTGTGGTTTTATGTACCAGGAATGGTCACAATTAATTTTTACATGATCTCTCTTTCGTAGTTAGAATTAAACAGGTTGTTTTTGTTACTGTTCCTTTAAGACAGATCCTCCGTTCTGACTGGCTGTCCTGCATTGTGCCTCTTTCAAACATCAGTCAGAGCTGAAACACTCCCTATAACATCAAAGTGCATGGGTGGATCTATACTGCTGTTGGCTCAATAGTTAAATGAATTGGTTCTCGAGACACCACAGAAACAGTTCAATTCAAAATGGGCTTTTTTCATATATGGACCATATGGACTGAGACCTGAATGACACACTGCAACTTTAACAATATTTACATATTTCTTCAAACTCCTTTATTTAAAAAAGTGAAGGAAATTCAGTTTCCTGTGATATGGGCTCTTTAATTAAAATTAATTGTTTGATTACATTGAGTGTGAAGGCCTACTTTTAGATGCTCATATTAAGTGAAGTGCTTCAATGAAAATTTGCTCACTTTAAAGCTTAGGATCACTGTCTATACCGGCCAAAACATTTAATATCAGTATCAGTATTGAAAAAGATGAAGTGGTATCATGCCATCTGTATTAAATTTACTTAATTGAATTTACTTAAAGAATGAATTCAATATATCAGTGCAGTTTTGTCCTTCATTTAATTGCTCTTGGAAAAAAAGGTAAAAATAACAGTTAAAAACAACTGTGGAAACAGAGCTGTTTGTGGCTGCTAATGCAGAGTCCCTATAGATTATCGCAAAGCTCTCTTCATCCAGTTAGGCGTTCTGGAAGTGAAACTTATTCTTGTCTGCCAGAGAGATTAACACACTCAGTCTGCCCTAGTATCTAGCATAGCATTAACCATACCTTACCTAACTCCCAGACCCCCTGACCAGCCAAGGAGGGCACACTGTCCACTTTACAGTTGAAAATCTATTTAGTTTCTCCAGCAACACACTTTAAAGGATCCATACCCTACATTTTTACTCTATATTATTTTTGTCCCTTAGATCTTAATTAATTCACTTTTACATGACCGTTTCTCTTTATCCCTTATTAAACAGGCTGTTTTTGTTACTGTGCCTAAGACTAATGTATGTAAATGAGCTCTGTTATTGGCTGCCCTGTACTGTGCCTCATTCCAAAAGGGGGGGGGGTAAACTTATAAAGGGGTGTTAACTTATTTTCACTTAGAAAATCACCAAAACAGATTTGTGCATATTACTGCAAACGTTTTGTTGTTTTCATGACAAATGAAAAAAAAAAATCACAAAAACAATACATTTAAAATGGGCTGTTTTGACAGTTTAGTTTCCATATATGGACTGCATGGATGGGGGGCTGAACAGTATTTTGAAACAATGTTTAAATACTACAAAAACCTCTTTAGTTTAAGAAAAAGCAAAGAAAATTTGGTTGTCCATGACACTGATCATACTAAATTGCGCCTTACCCACATTTCACCATTGTCGTAACAAACAGACAAACATTCTTACCTTGAATGTATGTTAATGGAACAAGGATTTTATTCTAAGTAAACAGCTTTATCACAGCCTCCCATGTCTCTCAGATTTTCTCTAAGAATAGAGAGTGTTAAAAACACCTACTGTTTCTCACAACCCCTTGGAATAATTAATGACTGATGTGCAATCCTGTGAATGGAGCTTGTGCATGTTCATTTTTAAAGAGCCTTCAGAAAATATTAGGTCTCAGCTCTTAAACACTTTTGGAAAATCACAGACACAGCTTAGTATCAATACTTGATATCCAGCTACCATAAACAATAAACACCTGGCTGCTACCCTGAATCCTCAGTCTAGTCAAGTGTCTACGATCCCAGTGTGCTGTGACGTCAACCCTGGTCTTGCTATGCCTAATGCAACCTGAGCCACAGGATACAGGTAACACATAATTGGCCACTGGATTTGAATCTTTGACCTACTTAGCCAATCAGAGCCTTGGCTTTGGAAAGCAAAATACTTACTTAAGATATAAAGATTTAGGCTAGCTGTTTATTGCTAATCTTTCTGATTTATAGTAGTCTGAATAATGTTGTAACGTTCTCTTTTTTGGAGGTATTTCCTAATTTAAAGTTATCAATGACTTATATAAGTCTTGTGTGATGATAATGCTACCCTACCATCAATCTACCTAATAACAGTTCCCAATATCACTAGGTTTGCTAAGTCTTTACAACAGAGGAACTGTTAGTAATCCTAGCTAGAATGTTTGGAAGTGGTTCCATTGAAGAGTTTGTTAAGCTATTTGTGAATGAAACACTAATCTCCCAAAGTCTGTGTAAGCCTGAAGGCAAAGCTTCTGGATAAGGAAGCAGAGCTACCTATCCTTGCTTAACCAAGCATGCCAAAGTAGGCCACATTCAAATCCTATCATGTTTGTCAGTCAGTGTACATTAGAGGTCAAAACCATTAATGGGAGGAAATTATGGTATCGGTGTTAAGGCAGGCTCGCTCAAGCTCCAGACCTATATTTTCTTGCTGTTAACGAATTAAGCACTACTACACTCTCAGAAAAAAGGTATAAAACTGTCACTGTGGCAGTGCCCCTTTCATCAAGGGTACATCTCTGTACCTTCAGTGAGGGAACATAATTGCACCTTAATCCATTGAAATTATATCTTCTAAATTGTATTAACTCCACACACCTCGTCTCGTCTCCAGGCTTTTTATTTCATTGATCTGTTTTTAAAACAATAGGCTATGAAAAGGTACAAATATGTATGTTTTCATTGAGAAAAACTTAAGGTACACAATTGGACCTTAAAACCACTGCTGTACCTTTGATGGTACAATTCCATTGTACCTTGATGAATGAAAAATGTACCTGCACAATACGTTTATTTTTAACAGTGTAGTGTAAAGCTTAGGTCTGCTCACTTGTGAGTTACAGTATTTTTGTAAACAAAACAATCAAAAAATGAAGGTTGAACATTGTTATGTTAAAGGAGCACTAATATAAAATATAAAATATATATTCTAGTTGGGAGTCACCAAGTAAAGCCTAAAGTAATACTTTAAAAGTCACAGGCATCGGATTGAATTTTGCAGGGATCACGTCATACAATATGTATTAACATCATACACGCAGGTTCTAAAAGAAGGTCTGGCACGATGGTAGATAACTGACTTGCATCCTCAGAAGACACGTCATTCACTAAGTTTTGTTTGAGTCCTCTTTCGACACAATCACCAGTGAAGGGATGCGAAGCATAAGCGATGTTAGAAAATGTTCCTAATCCCTAAAATTTACATAGTATAGCTTTAAAAATTCACAAATGTACTTACGATCCCAACACTTCTATGAAGTCGAACACATCTTGGATGTTGTCAGTGCTCTTCTTCCAGTCATAATCAGCCTCCTTGCGACCCATTTCAGCTTTAGCTTCTACAGGGATTTCTATAACACAAGAAAAAAAGGACAAAAAGAATTACTACACTGCTAACTAAAACCCACTTGGGGCAGATGAGCACACATCATAGTTTGAAACATCCCGAATAATGGCCACCTTTGTCAGGAGGGAAGACAACTCCTAATATTCCAGGAGCCATGAGGCTTGCTGCACAATACTTCAATTAAAGTTTAAAATCTTAAATCCAGGTAAAGGATTCCTGTGAAGTTCTCTAATGCCACGTTGTCGGAGCGTGAAGCAGTTTCACAATCTGAGATGTAAAAGAAGTAATGAAGGTAGGACCTCAGACTCATCATCAGCTAGCTGTCAGCTCTAGGATGCTCCTGCCTGTATGAGGCTTTGCCTGGTCAACCGTGTCTGCTAATACCTGCCTTAGGCAAGGGCTACACCCACAGCCAATGACAAAAGTGGTTAATGGTTATCCCACTGCAGTGCTACATTGCCTAACACTAATTCCAGGTTTGGCAACGTTCTCAAACCACTCTAATTTGTTGGCGAGTCAAGCACTGAGGTAGACTGGGCATATCAGGACTTTCGCAATCATAAGAGTGGCCTTTTTTGTGTCAGATTGCCAAATATGTCTGTATATGAACAATATTTATGGCCTTGGGTTAATCCTAAATTTAGAAATTCACATCCTCGTAAAAATAGGGCTATTTCACCTTAGAATCTGGGAATTAAATTGGACTCATCCTCACATCGCATTTGAATGGGTGAGCATATCATCGGTTTTAGACATTTTTGAAGGAATCACCCCATTTGCGAAGTGGCATTGATGAATACTGAAATAGTAATGATTGAACCAAACCCAACACAAAAGCAGCAGCCACTACAGGAACATTCTTAACAATCCTCCTCCATTTACTGTAACTACTTCTTTCAGTGTGATGTACAAAAGTAATGTGAAGTGTAAAAGTGTAGATAAATAAAAGAGTTTGTGGAAATGGACATGAGTTAGTGCATCACTTTGAAAGATTTGAAAAGGATTAGAGGTTAATACATAGCCCTGGGCTGTCTGTAGGCCTTGACCTCTTTCCTCTTATATAACAGTTTGAAGAATCGTGATCTATTCCCTTAACCCCAGAGGAATTAACCCTCAAAGATCAAGAGGTCAATTACAGTTTTAGAAGATCAAAGATATCTGATAATATAATGCTGGCAAATGAATCACAATCCTGATGCCAGAGGGCTTGGATGCCTTACAAATGTTCTGCTGAACACTATACTTCAGTTTGAAGAGTACTTGACTTAATAGACAAGAATTGGGTAGCCTGAAAACAAAAAGAACATCCAATTAACCAACAAGGATACTGAACAAATCCACAGGCTGTGTGCCAAACAAAGGGTAACAGCAATTTACATTTGACACTGCATCATTCCTTTCCTCATTTCTGTCATAACATGACTGGAAATAAAGAAGGTGGTTAAACACTTATTAACCATTATACTTCATTTGAAGGTGCATGACTGAATATATTTGCAAGAAACTGAAACGCCTTTACAGGCCTTTGTACATCTCAGAACAAGCACTACCGTCTTATTCACATCAAGACTCACATCAATTACTTTACACAAAGCTCTAAAGCCTTATGCACTATCCTAGTGTGATGCATGTCTGCACATGAAGCTCACTGCCAAATAAATAAATAAAAGAAATGTTCAAAATTGCTTCTTGCAACATTTACAGAAAGCCATAAAGCCACCTTACAAGAAACGAAAATGCCTTTACAGGCCTTCATTTAAGAACAAGCACTATCCATCTCACATCAGTTACTGCAGTTAGATTAGTGCATCAATTAGTGTCTAGATGTTCATATATGGGGACCGTACAAGTGAAACAGTATCAAAGTAATCATGTAGTCTGACTCTCAGGTAAGAACACTGTGTACCTTTTAATGCGCCCTTCTGATGCGATACAGGACTCTCCTGCACTCGCTCACTGTGTTCTTACAGTAGCATAAACATAAACTGTGCACATCAGCGTGGATCATCAGCAAGGTCCACAGGTGCAGCCTGTCCAGAACCAGGTCAGCCAAGGTCGAGGGGGACTCATGCAAACTAGCTCACTGAGCATGCAATTAATTTATATATATAATTAATTACACACACACACACACACACACACACACACACACACACACACACATATATATATATATATATATATATATATATATATGTATATATATATATATATATATTTTTTTTTATTAAAATAAGTTAAATATATAAAATTGAAAATGTAACCCAATAAACATACAATTAAATTAAAACATAATAAAATAAAATAGATAGATAGATAGATAGATAGATAGATAGATAGATAGATAGATAGATAGATGAAATTTTCAAAATTATTTTTGCAAGATTTACATCCCTGTGCAAAGAATGTTTGCATAAAGTGCATTGCTAAATAAATAAATAAATAAATAAATAAATAAATAAATAAATAAGTTATTTAATTGATTCATTCATTCATTTTCAAAAATTGCTTTTTCTGCAAGATTAACAAAGCCTGTTTGCATAAAGTGCATTGCTAAATTAATTTATTAAGACATTTTCAAAAAATGCTTTTTGCAAGATTTACACAAAGCTCTAAAGCCTTAAGCACCATCCTGGTGCAATGCATGTCTGCACATGAAGTGCATTGCCAAATCAATCAATCAATCAAACAATCAATCGGTAAAAAAATAGCTTATTGCAAGATCTCACAAAGTAATAAGGTCTTAAGTCTCCATGAAGTGCGTTGCTAAATGAATAAATACATGTACAGAAGAAGAAGAAGCAGAAGAAGAAGAAAGCCTGGAATTTCCCTGGAAAATGCGTTCATGCTCGACCTTACCTTCGGGTCTGTAACACTTCCAGCACGCGCCCCGTTTCTCCGGGTGGACAGTGAGGCAGGGGCAGCAGTGGTAGAGGACGGTGTGGGCGAGAGCGAGAGAACGCGGAGAGCTCAGCGACACGGACATGAGCAAAGAGACCCAATGCGAACAGTGAACATGCCTGCACGACCACTACACTCTACCGCTGCCAGCTCCCTATAGCCACCATCCGCTCCGGACAGAGTGCCAAATCTAGCCCACCACGACCACTCAGATCAATCATCGCTCGCTCGCGTCTGTTAGAAGCGGAAATGGAAACGGCTGGTCTGGTGTGAGGGGTTCGTGCTGTCGGGCTGCAGGTCGCGGTACTGCCTGCCTGTCTGTCTCTGTGACTTACCTAGAGCCAAGTGCGCTTCTCGCTGCTCCGCTCTGACTCTCCTGCCCAAAGCTCGCTGCCGTCTGGACAGATCAGCTTTGCCTTGAGGCACAGAAATAACCGCGTCTGCACGGAGATTACACATCCTCACTCTGCGAGAGGAGGGGCATCACTTTCTCAGGTGGGCTTCCACTAGACACTCTCATTATTGTGTCCGCTGCGTTAAACAAACGCAGATCACATCAGTTCAACTGACTAGTGAATGTGGCTGTTCAGGCAAGTTTCAGTGCTCTTCACAGCCAGTATGAATTTACTCACTGAATTAAAGCTCACTGTTCACCTTCTGAGTCCTTCATGATCTGGGGGCATCATTTTAGATGCAGTGGCACAACTAGGAAAAATAATGGCTCTTAAAATTATGAAAATTACTTTAAATTAATAAAAAATTGTAAATGTAAATGTTTGTTTCACATGATTGTTATGTCTCAAATTAGTTTGTGCACATAAGGCCAGTCCACCCACTAGCATCTAACATTAACATGAATATTTATTATACTTATTGAAATATTAAAGTGATAAATAATGAACGTATCGCTGTTGTCAGAAGAAAACCTCATATCTCCATTTTTTACATTTTTCATTGTTTTGACATAATTTGAAAATGCCTGTTGTCCTTTACATTATATAAATTTCATAAAGAATGGACCAAAAGAAATGGCCCAGAATGACTTGGAAAAAAGTCTGGTTCCATTGACTTACATTAAAAGTAAAGTAGTTTTTTTTCCTTTTTTCTGTAAAGTTATCATTTTGGAGATATGAGGTTTTCTTCCAACAACAGCAATTTCATGTTGCAGGTTCAGTTTGATCTGTTTGAAAATGGTTATCATGGATGAAATATTCACTACGAATAAGTGGAAGATAAATAGACGTCAGGTGATGTAAGCTAGCTGGTGAGGTACAGTTGCAAAACTTTGTGCTCTAAATTTTACAGAAAAATGCCATATTTAAGATTCTTCTCTGTAGAGGGCGTATTAACATATTGTGTGATGTAATTTCACAGAGGGCAATTCAAACTTTAGCAATTTTTGCTGTATGTTGGTTAGAATTGGGATCTTTCTCTGAGTCATGAGTGTTCAGTTAGGTCAGTATCTACATGAGTGGCCCAATAACGTATTTGGGGGGGGTCTAGTTTGCATGGACACCAGTGCGATTACCCACCCTCTGCCCCCCTCTGACTCTCACTGACATCGTGTCCACTACGGCCATAATGTTCTTTCAACCAAACATTGAAAGCTCTCCACAAAGTGCTTCCCAAATCACATCATTTCAATAAAAGGAAATGAACATGGGCATTCAGGGAATAGGTTTCATTATCTTATGTCTCATATAAATAAAATATGAATTCAGTTTCTGAAATAAAGATATCATTTGACTCTAAATTTCATTGGTCTTGTTCCATAGATTCTTTGAATGTTATGGATCTGGGGCTTAAAACGTTGGTTTAGTCTCAACCAAAGAACCAATTCTGACCATTGGCTTCCTGCTGTAAAGCCATATAGGAGTTAAGTTGTTATGTAGCATAGAAGATAGTATGCCAGTAAATGTCTGCAGTTAGTTGTCATGGCTTCCTACTAAAATAGCAATTATCATCAGTGTTGGGCAGAATACATCACTGAAATAGTAACAATGGCTAAATCCTGAATACACTGTCCTAAATGTATTCAGTAACGTTTTCTATTACAATACGTGACAAGTAACAAACTCAGAATGTATAGAATACATATTGATAGGGCACATGGGAAAAACTATGCACTTAATTCACACTCTTCCTCACTGTTACTGGTTGGCAGTTTTAGTGATGTAATTCTTCTGTTAACATGTTTCATGAAAAACTCATTTAAATGAATTTAAAAATTTTGCAACTGTCATTCCTAAGGAGACTATTCAGTTCAATCACCCCTCTAAGGAGTTCAGTAACACAGAGATCATCACATCACAAACTGGCATTGTTTTATCAGTCTACTCAGGCTTTAGCAGAGCTCAGCAACACTGAGATTAATAACTGATCATCACATTGAATTATTAAGCTTTAGCAGAGCTTAGTAACACTGTGATTAATAACTGGCTCACTACAATGATTTATCAGTCTTTAGTAGAGCTCAGTAACACTGAAATTAATAACTGGCTAATCACATTGATTTGTCAGGCTTACCCAGGCTTAAGTGTTTGTAAATAAGCTGTTAATTGAGTTCTTCTTTAGACCACCCGCTGCACACTGATTTTAAAATAGCTAATAAAACTAGCATTAATGGTGTTTCTTTTAAACATGGTATATATTTTTGAATTTAGTGGGGAAGTATTCTAACAGTATTCTCCTAAAATTTAAAAGGTAATTCTAAATACTGCTTTTTGAAAATATAACTTGGACTGAATACAAATACTATGTATTCCAAATATTTGTGTTCAGTTACATCCCAACCCTGTTCATAAACTTTAATAGCCTGCAGAACAAATCAGTGTCAAAATAGAAAAAATAAAAACATATTAAAAAGGAATCAAAAAGCCACAAATTATGATAAAACCTGCTTTAGTAACTCCAAAGAGATGAATACACTGAGAACATTGCAAAACATGAAATCTTATCAAGCCAGAAGATCTTGAAAATAAAGAATAAGTCTTTTTTATTTTAGTATTAACAGACTAGATTAGATTTGTATGTATAATATTAATCAGCTAGCTTGAAAACCTCTGAAGCTCTTCACTATGATGGATGAAATTTCATCACATCTTTCCATTTAAATTCTTAAAATTACTAACATCTTCGTTCATAGTCAAGAGCTTTTCTTTTCTCTCAAGAAAAGTTATTATGTATATTATACGTAGTATATAAGTATGTAGTTATGTGTATACACACACACAAACACACACACACACACACACACATATATATATATATATATATATATATATATATATATATGTATATATATATCTAAAAGCTAGCTCATTAATCTTTGTCTGTTAACCTTTAAATTAAAAACAAAGTCTGTTGTTCATTTTCAAGACTTTGTGACTTGTTAAGATTTCATTTTTTCACAGTATTGCAATCTTTTCTCCTAAACATGACAGATACAACAGAATGGTAGAGCAATAGAGAGTGTACAGTCTTCATTTCATACCAGCTGATTTGCGAGCTGTTCTGTTAGAAGTGATGGGGAGTTGGAGTACAAAGAGAAATACTTACTAATCTTCAACAATGAATGTCATACAGTAAGGTTTTTAAAGGATTGTTTACCTAATACTGAGCTGATAGTGAAGTGCTGGTTAGAAAACTGGAACAAAGAGACTTACCTGGATAATAATGTCTTCTGTTGACCAATGTTCCACATGTTTCAACAATGTAGGACCCCATCTCTGAAAAAAAAGCATACGGCTGATACCCTCAAGCAACAATCAGCTCAGTAGGATCTCAGTAGGATTTCCATTGTTATCTTTTCACATCCTGGAGAAGCAGAGTCTCTGGTGAGGTGATTCTAGGAGTGAATGGGATGGAACCTGCACCAGACACCTTGTTAATTACACCCCCCTGTGTTTGACGTTGCCATGGAAGGGAGACCAGAAACGTCGCCGGTGAGATCTCCAGGTACTTCTGTTTTAGCAGTAGTCTCATGCGTAAGTGGGAATAGAGATGGTTCTGGATATTCCAGGTTGACTGGAAAACACACAGTACATGCTATATGTGTCTCCATGGAGGGATACGTCATTTTCTCCATCACACACTCAGAAGCTCAGGAAGACATGTTTCAAATGTTTTATCACACCCACATTAGCATTTATGCATTAGAATTAGTTGTAATGCATGTGGCTGCCATATGTTTTTTCTACATTTTGACTGAGTTAGTACATAGACAGCCTCTCTTCATATACAAATATGTAGCTTCTTTAACAGACTTGGTACCCTAGGTATCTTCTAGTATGTGGTTTGTGATGTTCTAGTGTGTGCTATATTAATATGTAGTTTGTATTATTCTAGATCTAGACCATAAGATATGGTTGTCATGACTGTCTAGAGGGCTGTATAGAGAGAAAAATTAAAAATGAATGTAAAATATAGTTGTGTGTTGTGGAGCTTAAAGCAAGATAAAAACACAAACGAGTAATACAATTCCAACATATATCATTATTAACAATATATAATACATTATACAAGATTATATAGATATAACTTGTTTTTAGTAGCCTTTCAAAGAAATCTGCTGGGATATTTTTCACACCTAAAAAGTTCAGTCTGAGAAGTTGGATGCATTTTCTGCTTCACACTTTCAGTGATGTTGAGGTCTGAACTATGGGGTCACCAGTCTATCTGTTTCCTTTTGTAAGTAAGGGCTTCTTGACAGCAACACATCTTTCACCCATAGTATTGAGCTGTCTTCTCATAGTGGAAGGATGGGCAGACAAAGTTTTTTTCTGAAAGATACTGTTTATCTGATAGTGACTGGTTTGGGGGTCTACCAGGTCTTCTAAGGTTGTTAGGAGTCAGAGGTGTAGCCAAGACGTGGCAATGGGTGGCCAATGCCACCCTCCAGTGAAGTGTAAGAGAGTAAGCTATCATCAGTAAAGCATCTAAAAGCGCCTAAATAATGTTCAGCACAAGAAGTGTAAAATAACAGATTTTTCAGAGTGTATTCAAAAATTAGGTTAACCGATTAAAAACACTAATTATTTTGTTAATCTTCTTCAAATTATGACCACACACGAAAATTTGCCCAGTACATTTCAGTAGTGTTGCTCTATGAGCTACAATATATGCAGTAGGCTATATAAGAGTAAGATGAGGTAACTATGAAAAATTTATAACTACTAACATTTACCATCATATAGTAATGTTTATCATTTATCATGTAAGCTAAATCTTCTTTACAGCTGAGTAAAAGTTTAATGATGCAGTCTAGATCTCATCAGAGGCAAATCCACTGCTGAGTATAAGTTCCTGCCAATGCAATAGATCAGCTT